CCTCTTTTTTTTTTTTTTTTTTTTTTTTTAAGGTAAGTGGGAGAGATTCAAATCTGCGAACGTGACAAATAAAGCTTTAGCCTTTCTCTTTCTGTCTTTCTCTCCCCCCTCTCCGCTTTTTTTTGTATGTGATCATCTTGCGCTGCACTCCACAACCCCTTCCTTTCCTGACCAATTCCTCTTGAAGTCTTAGCCACTATAACTGCATGTAGCTATGTGGTGGATCTCTGACAAGTGGAAGGCAAGTTGAACTGGATTTAAAATTTATCTGAGCATTGACCTTGTCTGTTTTGTGTGACTGATTGCTGCCAAAGCGCATTCTGAATTACTTCATTGTCCTTATTAAAGTTTGTATGAAATTGGACATTTCTCATCTTTACCTTTCAGGCTGCTGGGAAGGGGCTCGATGTTTGTGTTTTCCCCAGAACAATTTCAAAGACTGCTTAAAATAAATCCAGAATGGAAATCCCACAGACTTCTTGATTTAGGGGCTGGGGATGGAGAAGTTACTAAAGTCATGAGTCCTCACTTTGAAGAAATCTATGCCACAGAGTTGTCTGAAACTATGATATGGCAGCTTCAGAAGAAGAAATACAGGTATTGTACTGAATATTTCCTACATTGTGTATTTCAGAGATTACAGCAAAATCATCTTTGTATATTTTATGAATGTTCAGTGTTTTCAGTCAATTCTTATGTTTGATCACTATGGAAAGAACTGACCTGTACAAAACAGGGAGAGCGAACACATCTGATATTCCTTGTTATCAGGACTTTTGCTATGCTTTTGTTCCTTGTTACCAGTTAAGGCAGAATCAGCAACAACTGTGTTGAAGTCTTTCTTCATAGTTTGCTTAAATTGCTTTAATCAAGACAGTTAGGAAGACAAAATTCAGATACTGATGAATGAACAGTACAAAATTGCAAGAGGAAGGAAAGCGACTGCAAAGAAAGCAAGTTGAATCCTGAAAATAGACGCAGATTAATCAGGTATCTCTAACGACTAGGAAAGGAGTGCTCATGGATTACTGTGTAAAGAATCTTTTATTCTAGTTATGCTTAGCTACTGCTTTTAAGACTGAAGAATATTTAGTAACAAAAACCTCAACACTTTCAGAACTTTGTGCACTGGTCACAGCTCCTGGAGGTTCTTTCAGTCTTGTTGAGTAATGGCTAGTATATGGGGTACTGTCTCCCTAGACTGGAACCCAAAGAATGAAGGAGTTGTGGATGTCTTTTCTTAACGTGTCCTTGAATGGAAAACCCAGCAACTGGGTTTGCACACAAAAAGGTCAGAGTGGATAAAATGCTGCAAGACATTAATACATTTCAGCTTCGTTTTTCCTTGCCGTGTATTCACTTTTACTCTAGAATGTCACGCTTTTATAATACCTTGGCTTTTTTTTTTTTTTTCACCCTTACTGCCTGAAGTTTGTAAGGCAATATTCATCCACACCTTTATATGTAACCGTGCCCATTGTTGGTCAATTTTTCTTTTCCAGAAGACTAGAAAGACCATGTCTACTTTTCCTCATTACCTAGTTGGCTGACCTTATTTGCACTATGAACACATCTGTAGGGAATTTTTATCCTTGGTGGGTCTCTCAGAACTCAGCTCTGTATCTCTCTCTCTGTTTGTAGGGTGCTTGGTATAAATGAATGGCAGAACACAGGATTTCAGTATGATGTTATCAGCTGTTTGAATTTGCTGGATCGTTGTGATCAGCCACTGACTGTATTAAAAGATATTAGGAGTGTACTGGAGCCAACTAGAGGCAGAGTCATTCTAGCATTGGTTCTGCCATTTCATCCGTATGTGGAAAATGGTAAGTACACAGATTAATAGCTATTCACACAAGTAAAGAAAGCTTTTGTAGGTTGTAGCATCCTGAATTAAATGTTTTAGTAAATAATTGACGTATGTAAATGTATCTTATAAATAGCTTCTAGGGTGCATGTTCAGAAGTATGAAATCATAGGTAAATAGGCCACACGAGGTAAGATGTTTTCTTAATTCCACACCATACATTGTAGGCACCAACAGAAAGCTCAGATATTGAAGTTACATATCCTGTTCTGCAGGTTGCCACATTTGAGCTGTGTTGGAGCAACATGGGAAAACTGATCTCTGATTAGGGCCCTCTGCTGCCTTCATATAGGTAACCCCAGTTGTCTTTAGCGACCATTGAACAAATCCATCAGAACTGTCTGTAATACTGAATGGAGCAGCTTAGCTCAAACTGTTTCAAGTGTTCCAGATGAACTACACCTAAAAATTCATAGGATGATAATGTTCACTGTCCAATATGAGATCGCAGAATAAAATATAGACCCTTACTAATACTAATACCAACCATTATTATTATTTTATTAGTAACTGGGAAAAAAAAGTCAAATTAAGTGCTAAAATTCATTTATTTCCAGTAGTTGCATTTTAAAGAAATACATGAGAGACTTTTCAAATGAATCTTTCCTTATGACTAAACCTCAAAAGAGATTAAAAAATTTTTAGATGCCTGTGATTGTGGGGGTTCAGGTTGAGGCACCCTAAAGGTGATTTGAGTTGTAGAAGGCTGGTGTTCATCAGTCATTCTTTGGATGCTGCCTCTCCTTGACTTGTCAATGGAAAGGCACATGTGTACAGAAAATACAAAACTAATAACCTTAATATTCTGGAAATTGTAAATACAATCAAAATGAAACTATTTTTCTCTTTTTATATGCAAATAGTATTTTTGGGGGGGGGAGGGAGGGAGGACACCACAAAAAGAGCTTTAAGTGTAAAAATGAATGGTGTCAGTTGAAAAATTCCTTAAAATACAGTATTTGAGCATATAATTTTGTAGCTATTCTAAAAAGTAGTATGTCTTAAATGAGATGGAGGGTTGACTTAGGCACCTGTATGGTATTTCCAAGCACATTTGGTTACAACATCCTATTACTGTAACGTGGAACAATTTGATTTCCTTTCTTTAAAATTCCATATAACAACCATGTCTTGCTTGACTTTCATCAGCATGTTAGAAGCAAAAATTGAGAAGTGATCTGGGTGTCTGTTTCATTTGTGTGACTTCAAAGCTGTATATCATGGTGTTTTGCAATCACTGTTGCTCACAGCATCTACTTTTCTACGTGTTGTTTGGTAACCATGTGATAGGCTACATGCTACTTCCTTGCTCAACAGAGGTAGGGAAATTAAGGAAGAAAAAACTATTCCAGGTCCATTTTGTATCTTTCGCTAACTGCCTGTGTCACACTGGGAAAAGAATAGGATATTAAATTTAAAAATCCCGGGGGAATAGAAACCTGTCCTTTGATTGTTGAACTCAAAACAGATTTCATCTTCCAACAAGTAGGAATGACTAAGATGTCTTGTAAACCAAAGTCAGACTCTAGTTTGTGCTGGCAACCTGTAAACGATTAGTCACTTTCTTTAAGACAGCTTTGTTTCCTTTGCTTTTTGTAAGTCTCAGCTAGCACAGTGATGTTCTTTTTTTCTTTTTCTTTTTTTTTTCTGATCTGTAGTGTATGACAGTAGCTTTAGTATGCTTGTATCAGTTGAGGCTGTTCCAGTTAGCAAATATCTACTGTAACTTCAAACATACTCAGTTTGTCTGTTTACTACTGACGTGGATATGGGCCCATATAAACATCTCTAGACAGTGCGAGTTACCACATGCACAAGTTAGTGTCATTCCACTAAAGCTTTCCTGCTTAAGATCTTTTCAGTTATAGACTAAAGAAATAGTGAGCTGCCAGACTGTCTTATAACTCTTTATATCAGCTAATTAAAAAGTCTGGACCTGCCTGGTGAAACTTATGAATTTTAGAGAGGGCAATAAATGGAGAAGGGATTAGGCAGGTAAGGTGTTTGATCGGTGTATAGATCAGTTTTTAGAACTGGAGACCTAAAGATAAATTTAAATCAAAACAAGATATTTGGGTTATTACATCTAATTTAATGGGAAGGTAATTGTAGAAACCCTCAGTGTGAACAGTATAAAGCCTGCTCTAAGAGAACAAAGCAAGGTGGAGTAGGAGGTATAATTTGTTTCTGTGTTCCTGGAATTACAGTGACACCTAGAGTCCAAAGTAGCTTAATCACAAATTAAGCTCTCCAGAGGAGCTTTGTTTTCACTGTATAGAACAACAAGTAAATGCACTTCCTGTGCATTTCTAAATTTGTCAAGCCATACAAATCATGTGGTATCATAATAAAACATATTATGGGCACCCCCTAGGTGATTATAAAATGTTTTATATTTCCTAATATAGACAGTGTGTGTCTGTGCGTGTGTATGTATATGAAGGCAATATTAGATAATCAGTCTGGATTGTGACATTTTCTTTTTGAGCATATTAATGTTTCTATGATTGAATATCATGTATAAGAAGAGGAAGGTGCATTTTTCATCATCCTGAAGTATTTAGTAGTAAATTGAGTTGGAAACAGTACTAGATGGACCCTTACTTTGCCTGATTTTTTCAGTTCTTGTGTCACTGAAATGCAAAATGTGGCTTCAGTTGCTAAACAAAGCCTTGCTTTATTTAAAGGATGACAAAAGATTTAACTGTTGCTTAGCAGGGAGAATGCCTGATACCAACAGGTCTCTTCTGAAAGTGCTGATTTGTAGATTGGCTAGGTAATAACTTCTCAGTGTACTTCTAGTTTTGTGCCTGTATCCATTTTGATCAGGCACACAAAAGCAAAAGTTGGTGCTACAAGTAACCCTGACTTTGGATGGTAGGATTGGAAGAAAGGGGTTTTCTGTCTAGCAGTTGAATTTTAATGTTGCAGGAGTAACCTTTTCATGACCACCACTTTGCTTTCCTCAGAAGGCTAGGATGAGGTTCACAACCCAAATGAGTTTTACAATGAGAGTACATGCATTTATATAATCTCTTTTTCTTCTTGCCTATCCATAGAATATGTATGTTTTTCTGTTTAAGCTGCTGTAAGACTCCATAAGTCTTGATCTATATATCCATTATAACTAACATGACTGAAAACAGAATTTCACCAAGTTTATTTTCTAATGGTGTTGATTAATGTACATCTTACACAACTGTTTTAATTTGCATACAAGAAATACATGTAAATTCATGCTGAATGGGAAATAATGTGTAACATAGGTCATCAAAATCAAGTGCATTGAACATTGTCTCTTTAGAAAACGCTATGAAGAACACTGTCCTGTAAGGTTTTCTCCTTTCTTTTTAAAGCACAGTAAGTCTGTGAAGAAGCTTAACTTCTTCATCTGCTTCTTTGGTTACACTAAAAATGTCCAACAAATTGGAAATGCAGCACATACTCATCTGTTCTGGTACACAGTGTCATCGTCCAGATGATCCTAGGGGGAAAAAGAAATGTGGAAGTGTTTACTCATTGATGCAAATGTTTGTTGTTATCATTTTTAAAGGCAATACTTTTTTGAGGCAAATTCCGTCTCTTTATAGTTTCAATATACTCCTTCCATCCCTACTTATCTAATTCCATTTGTCTGTGTGGCACCTGCAGGATTCCAAACATGTTTCCTTTCCTTTTGGCTTCTCCTAATCTTCAAAGAGCACAGAGGCAGTAAAACAATACCTCTTATTTTCATTATGTTTTTATCTGGCACTTAAACCAAGGACCAGGTCAGCAGGGACTTGAAGCCTTTAAAGGGATAATTACAGAGGAAATCAGTTGGCAGTACAGAGGTGAATAAACTAAAAATGTTTAGAGGAGGAGTGTTTGACTTTGTATTCTGTTTCTTTTTCTTTCTCATCACATCTCTGAAATAGTGCAGTATAAGCTTAGAATGTGAAAGAATTTTTAATGTTTCTGTAGAGAAACATTATTTTTTTTGAAGGATGATTTTGAAGCTATTTTCACTGCTTGCAAATACACATGTTTTCTAAAATTTTCTGTAACTTACCCGGCATATGCAAAATTCCTGTCAAATAGTTATTGAAGATTTACTGGCCTAAGGTTGCAACGATGAAATAAGCTGTGTGGTTTTATCCAGTGTGTTGAATACTTAGCTACAGAAGTTTGTGTGTGTGGGGAAATAACTGTAAGAATGTTGTAGAGTTTGCTGAAAATGTTTTGTTATGCTTCTGTCATCTTACTCTTCTGGACTAAGGGAACGAGAGGAACTACAATTGAAAAATTTTCATGAAAGAGCTCTAATAGGTTTGTGTTTTATCAAACAGTCCAGAACAACTTGCTGAAACCTCTTCTTGGCAAATACAAACTTAAAGGGGCTTCATGAAGTGTACATACACACATTTTTTAACGTATATGAAAAGTACAGTGTGTATATACACTCATTTGATTGTGTATATGTATATGTAAGAGCATATAACGTATTGGCATCGTGAGCATCTCTGATACAAAACCGTCTTGCTTTATATTGTATTTTTCCCTAGAAAGGATGCCTAACTTGAGTGCTGGTATTGTAGGCCTTTCATGACATGAAACTTTGCGTCCATCTGGGAGGAAAAGAATTTTTATTCTCAGACAACATATTGGTCCTGGTTTTAGCCTTATTGGAACTAAGAAATGTTGGATGGCTTAGAAAATGGAAGCTTTCTTTTTTTTTTTTTTTTTTTTTCTTCAGTACTGAATCTGAATTCATCTGTCACTTTTCTGCACTTGCAGACACTGCATATACGGGAATATCATCATCTGTGCTCTTATATTACAGATCACGTGAGTGTGTTTCTGCATAATGTGAAGGTGTGTATCTGTCCCAGGAAAAAAAGTTCCTGTAAACTGTCGTGATCTCTTCTTGATCATATAGAATCTTTGACTATTGTGCAGAATACTTTTTTTTTTTAAGACCTTAATCAACTTTAAATAAGAAAAAAAATCTAGTTCCAGATGGAACAAACGGTAAATTCTTAAAAACTGAGTTCCTCTCTTCCCCCATGTTTTTCCCCATACCAGTAGAAACTTACAGGCTGTCGGGAGTGCTCAGCGTACCTCTGCTTTTGAAGTTCTTGGGCAATTGCTCGAAAAATTTTTCGTCCGCTAGTGATTTTCTGCAAATTATATAAAATATTTTAGCTTAGTATTACATTTGAGGTTGGGAGAAGCATCTTTTTTAGAATCTTTTTGTAATTCTGATCTTTGGTTTTTTTTTTTTTTTTTTGCTTGTGTATGTCTGTGGGAAATTTACTGAATAATGCTTTAGGACCATATAGTTAGTCAGTCAGAAGGGTTTAAGTTGCATTAATATTATATCTCTTAACGTATATACCTTCTTTAATAGATATTTAAACACTATGGATATTTTTCTTTAATTTAAGGAGTCATGGCAATAAATGGTCTAAATAGACTTTTAAACTAGGGGTTTACCTGAATGCCCCATTTGAACAAATAAAAAAAAAAATCAATATTGAAGAGTTATTCTAAAAAAGAGTTCAAACAAAATTTTCTTGCAAGCAAAACCTAAAGGAAGCTGCGTGTAAAGGACAATCCTTAGGTAGATTTGACTTTATCCTGTATCCAGATAGTTACAAATTAACTGATTAGTTAAACATGAGGTAAATGTAAAATCATTAACCTGCTCTGTACAAATCTGAACCGAAGCCTTAACAGCTGTATGTGTCCCTTTAACTGAGTCATCAATTAATCACAAAATTGGTATCAGATATATACTTTTAAAAAAAAAAAAAAGAAGGTTCTGAATCACAGATAAAGCAAAGTGATAACGTACGCAGTTCTCTGTCCTCTGGTCTTCATTTCCACTTTTACTTAGCAGCTTTGGTTTTAACTAGAAGGAGGAAGGGAAAAAAAGTTTGAAACAACATGATATAGCAACAGCTAAAGTAGCAGAATAGTTTAATCTTGCCCTGTTACAGTGGAAAAGAGTCTGTAGATAAGTAGATATTAGGTCAGCTTATACCATTGGAAAAAAAATCAGGCATTTAAGGCCTTTTTCATCTTCTGGTAGTAGATGTTGCGCATATCCATATCTTTGCTTTGAGTACAATAGAACTTGCCTGAAGCTACCTAGTTGTCAAAAATAAACCAATTTGCATCGTAGATACCAGGTTTTCTCCTGAAAAAAGGCATGATTAATTCTTTCTACTATATGACTTTGGGTATCTTAAAGAAAACAAAACAACATCAAAAATGAGTGTCTTGTCTTTATATTTAGACAACTATCACTGCAGCAAAGAGCCATTTACCGTGTCATACCACACAGGACTGCAAGTCCTTATTCTCATGTCAAAGTAATTATTTAAAGATTCCAGTTGCAGCTTGGGGTGTTTGTTTTTAACTAAATACAATTTTGTTCTAGAAAAAAATAAAAATCTGGTATTTATATAATTTTAACTGCGTGCATTCTATTGTTTATTTCCTATATCCATAAAACTTCTCCAAGTCTCTGATACTTCTAAATCTTTTACCACTGTCTGTCTTCTGTACATGTACAGTATATGAATACAGTTTGATTATACAAGCAAAGTCAGATTGCAGTAACTTTGCATCTTATAAATATTTTGACATTAAATTATTTTACTTTTAATGGAAGCTAATCCACAAAGTTTATGACTTGCAATGGTAATTTATAACTTTGCTTTTTGAGTGTGCTTTGACAGATCCAGTATCCAAGCTGCTGATTAATACACTTGGTATAATTTTAGTTTTATAATACTGTTATTTTAGACAAGTTACTTAAAATGTGGTTGCTATTTAGAGTACAGGTATATGTCTGCAGGTACGTGCACCATATGAACTTCAACCAAGCATCTCTTTACAACTTAACTGTAGAAGTTATGGAAGCTAGGACTGTCTTTTACTCTCTTTACGGAGATGCTAAGACTGCTTAAAGTTAAATAATGCACAAAATCAGTTTGAACCTACCTTGTAGACTATAAGGATTGTGAATACAGCAGTGCAGTATAGAAGCAGTAAGGTTGAGATGACAATCATGCAGTTAAATTCTTCAGTGCTGTGCCTCTCTGGTCATTAAGTAAGAGTAAGTATTAGAATAATGGACAATTCTGATTCATGTAATTTTCTAAAGACTCTGAATTTCAGCCCCCTTCCGTTGAGGAATTAAAAAAAAACTTCATACGCATCAATACTTTTTGATTTAACTTCAGTCTGAATTCCCTAGCAAGATCACTTCTCTTTCTCTGAACGTTTGTTCAGAGAAATGAAGACTTCTTGTTTTTGTTTATAAACCCTTACATTGAGGGATAGATGGAGAATAGAGTCCAGTTTTCTTCTCTAATAAAGGAATATCTGAACAAAGATTACAGGCTTTTGTTCAGGAATACAGTTAGACAGGGGGGATGAATTAATACAGCTGGATTGTTTTCCCTATTTTTTTCTATTTTAGCCATGTGAAACTGAAATGTAATTAATGTAGCCTCATTATATTTTAGTTAGAAGGCAAACACTACAGAAGTAGAGAACTAAAACAGTTTGCTCAAGTTGGCACAGTGAATCTCCAGTTCTGAAACCCTGCACTCTGTTGAATGTATTTCTACTAAATGCCTGTTTCTTTGCTTCTCATTTTCTGATGATACTTCCTTTCTGACAGCCATTAAGGTCTATAACAATACTCTACACCCTTTATAGATAGTACAGAGCACAACATTTCTTTCTGTTCTAGAATTCTAGAGTAATGATAAGAGCAGTCTAACCAGCAAATGGCATTAAGATGGTTATTTGTAGAATCCCTCCATAGTTTTACAATTAACAGTTTAAGAAACTCATACTACTCCTAATTGCTTTGTTGGTATTTCAGTCTTAAATGCCATTTTTGAGAGTATAATAGAGGATTTGGGAAAGAATTTTCTTTTATGATGATTCATTAAGGATGAATAAATAACTGACCTCTTTTTGTTAGAATGGTTCCACCTCCTGTTTGCTTAGAATGGAGTGAACTTGAATCTGAAAATGCTATTCCACAAAAATAAACAGCACTGTCATTTACAGTCAGATCATTGATCTGAAGTGAAGTGCTATTTTCTGATATTTTTACTTTGAACTTCTGATCATTTGTGCATCTAGGAGTGCACAAATCCTCGTGCTTGTTAGTGAAAAAACGAAACCATAGAACTTGAAGCTTGGACAGGGAGCATTGAGGGGCAGAGAAATCACACGGTAGGGACACTGTTTGGGTGGAATATTCAGCTTTCTGATATCTGGGTTGTCTTACAGTGACTTGGCATTTATCTGCTGCACCTGTTGAGAATAAACAATGAGGGCTAGTTAGATAAGCAAGGCATAATCTAGAAAGAAAATAAGCTGCTTATGGTTCATGCTAGAAAAGGTAGGTGGAAAGGGGAAAAAACGTTTTTCAAACTTTGATTTTTTTTTTAGGATGGATAGACAAGGTGGGTGACATAAATCTAGATGCTCAGTGGTATGTCTCTCCAAAGGTTTGTTTCTCCTCTGCTCTTCCTGATTTGGGAGTAATGTGAGACAGCCTGATTGCAAGTGGTGGAAGAGTCATAAATGGAGACATTTAAAACTTAGCAATTTCATAACATTGATTAGAATTCATAATAGTTCCTGCATATGCCTTCACTTTGTGGTACGTACTGACTCCGGGTTTCTAAGGATAACAATATTGCTTGTTAGTTCTGACATTTAAAAATTTGTGTAGAGAAAACAGGAAGTTCAATCAGGGAAGAGAATTCTAATTAAGGAACTGAAATGTTTAATATGACTGGTCTGGGAGAGTTATTATATGTTTTAAAGTCCTTACTGAAATCTATAATTTAGATACTTTTGATGTGTCTAGTTTTATGCACATAGCTTAGTTATTTAAACAATTGAATGAGGATTATGCAGTGAAAATGAAGGTAGTAGCTTACTAGCATACTTTCCTCATTTCTAGAAAGTAAAAAGTTAGAATAAAAATAAACTGAAATCTGTCTTAATCTATTGCTGATACACAATTGATAAGCCTGTCTACTGCAGACAGTCAGTGCTGTCCCTTCATGTCAGTGCTGTCCCTTCATGTTTTTTCTCACCAAATATTTTATGGACCTAATCCAAGCAGATTCAGTGTCTGTGACTTCTGCGGGAATAAAGTTAAATTCTATTTCTCCATCGGATGAACATCAGAGCCATTCCATAGCAGCTACAGCAACCTGAAGGCTCTAGTAGTGTAACTGTGAAAGACAGTAGGTTGTGCTCCTGCAGTTGATCACCTTCTCCTTTCCAGTTAACTTGTGCTCTGGTTGACCTTGCAGAGCAGAACACCATAGCTTCAGTTCATACAGATACTGTCTGCCGGACTTCCTAAACCTTCCTACCAAACAGGCACAGCTGCACTGAAACCATGCTGTTGCTGCTGGAGCACTCTTTACAGGAGAGGGCCATAGGGTTTCACCCAGAAATCATAGATTACATTTCAGAATTATGGAATAAAAAGCATTTACTAAGTCATTTCATTTGGAAGTTGCATGAAGACAGCAAAAATTAGCTCAATTCGCAGCAAAACTTTTTACTACACTTACAGCTATGTTGCAGATCATAACCACATTTTCAATCCTGTAATTTCTATTAGATGAGAAAATACAAGAAGCTTAAATGTCTTACCAGCACTGTACAGAATCCAGTTAAATGCCAGCATTAGCATTTTCTGGAAGCTGTTGAAAGATGCCATTTCTTGTATCTGTCTGGAAATGATTCTGCTTGAAGGAAGAGGAACTTATGAAATTTTTGGAGTTGCAGAATGCTCTGTACCACGCGATTTAGAGCTTCCTGTTGAGAAGGGCTTTTACTGTTGTATTTGGCAAACTTGTTAAAGGTACAGACCAAAACAGAAAACATTTCTGTGGCTTGTGGATGACATTACTTTGAAAGTGAGTGAACACTTTTTACTTTTAAATTTGCAAGTTGTGCCAGGTTACTTTTTTGGATATTGCAAATAACATGTTTCCCAACATAATGCATATATTCAGCTTTGTAATTTTATCTGGCCTTAGACTGTTTTTACTGCATCAGCTAGTAAGTGACAGCAACAAGTTCTGTACTCATCCCTTATTTAACTAATGTGGTGGTTTCCTAGAAAAAAAAAAAAAAGTAACAGCAAATGATAATTTTCAACTTGCTGTCTCTATTTACTGTAACTACCTGAAGCCATCTTTAGCCAGACAGTAGGCATAAAGAAAAAAAATTATAATGCTGGAAAATATCTATATTAAATTGTCTGTCCGTCCATGTCTGCTGAACACCAGCCTCAATAAAGGAAGGTACTTTTCAGCCAGTTTTGGAGCTGCTAGTTAAAAATGTAGCCAAAGATAACCTTAAGAAGGAGCCTCTTCTGAACTCTTGGGGAGGGGGTGCGGGGGGAGGAACTTGGGAGAAAAAAAAAAACTGATCTATCAACAATTCTACAAATGGCTTGTCAACCTCATATTTGGAGTGGAATGGAATATAATGTGTAATATAATTTCTGGAAAAAAAAAGTCTGTTTTATAACTGAAACAATACTCTTTTATTTTCTCAGTAGGTGGCAAGTGGGAAAAACCCTCAGAAGTTTTGGAAATCAAAGGGCATACTTGGGAAGAACAGGTTAATAGCCTGCCAGAAGTTTTCAGTAAAGCTGGTTTTGCCATAGAGGCTTTCACCAGACTGCCATACCTATGTGAAGGTGATATGTATAATGACTACTATGTACTAGATGATGCTGTCTTTGTCCTGAAGCCAGTGTAAGTGTATATGAAGTAAATCTCCAGAATCAGTCCCAAGAAGCAGCCTCTGAAAGAGAGTTTTGATTTACGGTTATGTAAAGGGAGGGAATTTGGGGTATTGCTGTGCTAAATAAATACCATGTAAGAATTTTAAAGGCCAAAATACTAATGTATTTCTTTGTAGTATTTAGGAAAAAAAAGGGTTTTGTTTTATTAAACAGATTCTTCAGTTGAGAATCTTTTTTTTTAACCAGCTCTTAAACCAACAATGCATTCTGCAATCCAGCAGCAATGGGGGATACTTTTTTTACACTTACCTGCAACAGGGATCAGATCCAAACAAAAGCAATAGTCCTGATAATGAGGAAACTGATACAATGTGAATTGTTGTTAAAGAAATCAACTGAAATCTGGCAATAAAGTTATCCATTCAGTTCAAACCTTGTTGATTATAAACTGTTGAAATGGATATTCTTCCATGCTAAGTTACTTTATCTCTTACTGTCATTCTTCATGTTTTTATTCATGCTAATAAACTTTTTTGAGATGACTTTTTGCATTAACTTTCGTGTTCTTTTTTGTAACCATAGCCACTCTTGTCCACAGCAGCTGCTCTTTGAGAATTGAACTCCCAGTAGCAGCACAAAGTTGAGTTTATTTAAACAGCATTTAAGTATTGTTTAAAGGGATAACAGTCCACAAAAATGTATCAGTTTTGGTTGGGTTTCTTTCATATTCCTCTCAATGCCTCATAAATTCTCATTGCTTTTGCATATGCCATTTTCCAGCTAAAGGGGCTATGGTAACTTGATGGGTTTGATAACAAACCTCCTAAGCGAGTTGTTCCTAAAAGCTAACGTTTTAAAGAACCTGTAGGCACTTTCTTGCAAACTTTTTGAGTCAAATTGCCTCTGAGGCTTAGGCTATAGGGACCTGATTTTGAAGGTTTAAACAGCTTGGAACAGTTGTTTGTTTTCCCATGAATACAGAATAAATGCTATTTATTTTAACATGTCTTATTTTAAAAATCTTGTTTAAAATAGCTAATTTCTGGCAGTTGAGATAAAACCTTCCTTTAAAACGACAAGCGGCATCGTCAGTAAAGAGTAGAGAACTGGCAGGCATGTGTCTTGTTGCTTGGGACATAAGTATTGTGAGAGCAGAAGAACCTTAGCTTGTGTATCAACTGGTAAGTAAAGCAAGAACTGATTTGTCTTATGCTTTTGAAGTATAAAGTTATTTATTTAGCAATTGGTGATCTTAGACCAGGTAGGATGTTTTAGCTTGTCTTTTTAGGTTTATCCTGGACTTCCTTTGACTGATGTTTAGTGATTTCTCTTGCAAAGTTAATAGCCTTTTATTCTCAGTTGTCTTTGTGTAAGATTGTGTTGTGTAGTAAGGAGAGAGGCCTGATTAGTATTTTTTGGTTGTGTTTTTTTTTCCTCCAACAGTAATTCAGGCTCAGAATTATTTCAGCATCTGTTACTGAATTTTGGCACAGAAAACAGTCATATTTGTCTGGAAAAAATGAGCTGGGTATGTTTTGGAGTGAGTTTATTCTTCTTTGTTACTTTATTTGGACCTATATTAATAGGAAAATATGGTTCTTGTGTTATGAATTTAGCTTTATGTAGCAAATGTATATTAAGACAAAATTCTTCAATGGTACTTAAAAGTTGTACTCCCACAGATTACAATCACACGAAAGACTGCGTTTCACATCTTTCACATCTTTTAGTCCTGTCATTTAGGATGTTAGTTTGTAACAGTTTTGAGATGTTTTGGGACAGAAGATGCAATGTACAAGTAATTTTTTCTTATAATTTCCTATTTTGTTCCCTTTACTTAAACAAGTATTCTTACACTTGAGGTATGAAATTAAAACACTTACCTAAAACATGAGCAATAACAGGGAAAAGCTGTGACCAGAGTAAGCTTGGGACTAAGCCACTAAGGGACTGAGTCTTGCAAGAGTGTTGGTCTTCAGAAGTCTGTAATCAGTCCTGTGGGGTTTCTTGGGGAGTGGGGTGCTGGGGGCACCGCTCACAGCACAGGAAACTGCTGTGTGACAGCTTCCTCGCTTCCTAACTATCATGGGTGACACAAGGCACTTGTCATATGCTTGTCTAATCACATTATCTTTTTTATTAAGATGATGCATAATTAAGTGCAAGTAAGTTAAAAGGGCCACAAATATGAGTGTAGGTACTAATCAAAACACTGCAGTCCTGTTCTTAATATTCTGCTAGTTTTGCCTAGTTTCCCTTTCTATAATATATCTGCTATGCACAGATACGTACAGTCATGCAGAAGAAAAAAATTACTTAGCTTTGTCCTGTAAAGATAATAGTCTGGGCAGAAAATCTATGCAGCTGTGTTTTAGAGGAAAGCATAAGTATTTAATGTATCTCATGATTATCCTCAAAAGCCTGCTTAGGCCTATGGAACTCGCGATTTGTAAGTCGCAGCGTGTGGTGTAATGTGCTGTATTTTGCCCTGGAAAGTAACTAAATTATCTGTTTTGTTGAGGTGGTACTGGATATGTAGCATCACAGGAAAAAAGATGCTGTGCAAGGGCATGGTTTATTTGGGAACTTTCAGCAGAAATTTGGATGAGTTTCATCTCCCAGAAGGCACGGCCCCCTTTGGCTGGGTGGCCCCAGGTACAGTCAGCTCCCCTCCTGCTCCCAGGAGCCCAGAGCCACCTGCCTCTGCTCGGGGTGCAGAGGCTGGGGGACCCTGGGCAATGCCAGCCTGGCCCTGTTTGTTGCCCCCATACAGTTCATTGAGCTCTCTTCATCTCAGGTATGAGAAGAAGAGGCACTGTGGGAGTCCCTCAGCTGATTCCCCCCAGCAGAGGCCTTTCCCTCCCCGCTGGGTGCTGCTGGGCAGGCACCTGGAGCTGTGAGGCGGTGCTGGCCCCAGGCCCTGCCCTGCTGCAGGGGTCCTGGCTGCAGCCGCCTGCTTCTTGCACTGCAGAGCGCGGGGAAGGAGGCGCACACAGCAGAGGCAGGTAAAGTGCTGCGGGGCCCTGGCTTTCTATACATGCCACAGGAACGCAGCATCTCTTTTCACAGCCCTCCCCTTCCTTTCCTCCCTCCCTCTGCAGCCTGAACCCCCTGAGCATTCTCCTATAGGGTTTATACGCTGCTGCGTGTAGGGCTTTTTCGCGGAGGTGCTGAGAGCCTGGCTGTGAGGGGGAGGACAGGCACCAGTGGCGCGTGAGGTTATCGGCAAGACTTCTGATTATGAGGTTAGGGTTAGCTTTCTGGTTATCAGGCTTCAGATAAGGCTCTGGCTGCATTGAGGAGGTGGGTGATAAAATGTCTAGGATTTCTTTACATGGAGGAGCGTGTGTTTGGGGAGCAAGGGGACGGGCAGGCTGTAAGCTCCCCATAACCTGAGAGTCCTGCAAGGGAAGTCTTAGAGATCTGGTCACAGCATACCCTGCGGTGGTGCAGGGAAGGCTCTGCAGGGAGGTGCCAGATGGGATCTGCAGAGCCACAGGCTGATTTGGGATTGTGAGCACTCTAGGCAACTTCTGTAAATGGACTAGTTTAACTGACAAAGGAAAATACTTCATCCCACAGATCCTTTTATCAAGCAGGGCTATTTCACAGCAGATCTCTTCTGCACCTGCTAATTGTCCATTGAAATTAGTTGGGATAAAACAGCACTACCCTCCTTATATATTTCCTTATATTACATCTCCTTCTATATTAATTTGGTATGCTTTAATTAAAATACGCTCCCTGATCAAAGTGAGTGTGTTGGAATAAACAAATCGAGGTTGACATTAGTAGCATGATTTAAACCCTACAGATTAGCCAAAACTTGCTGCAAAACTGATAGGGCAATGGCAGAAACAAACACAAGAAAGTTCATTGTCCAGGAAACCAGATACATCTGAATGAGAGACTGCAGTGTGGCACTCCCAAAAGAATTGTTGAAAGGGGTTTCAGTGTGTGTAAGAAAAGTACAGAGGCGCTAGCTTCTTGAAGCCTAATGATTATTTTTTTCATCATCCATCAGTTTGAGTCGCTCCTGTTACCAGTTACATATTTGTGTTAGACTGAAGCATTGCTAGAGGCTGTTGACAGATGTTCTTATAAGAGTACGCTGCCAATACGTGAGTTTAAACAGTCTGAAAAAGGTGTTTCTAATTATCAGATGTTCAAATCTGTAATTCAATCTATGACAGAGAACAACAACAACAAAAAAAAAAAAACACATCCAAATTCAGCATCAAAAAGAAACGGGGAAATTAAGTGTAGCAGCAGATAAGCCTTTGAAAGGAAGGAAAGGGAGAGGAAGCATAACAAAGTGATCTTGTGGTCGGAGCAAAGCTGGCTCATGGGGCCCTCTGTATCGTTTGTTAAAAATCATGGAGTAATTCCAATGCAAGAAACTGCAATCTGCAGAGCATCGCCTAATATCTGAATTAATTTGTTGCTTCCCCTGTGGGAACAGTGGTTGGGCAGAGGCAGGAAACCCTCCCTGCAGGGATCTGCTGCAGCAGGTGATGGAGCAGGGGAGGGGAGCGTGGCTGCAGAAATGCCTCTGGGAGGGAGATCTGCTTGGTCCCCACTTCTTTTCAATCCTGGCTGTGTGTCAGGCCAAGCAGCTTTGTGCTATGTATCCTTGTCCTTCAGGATGTAGACCAAATGGAAAAAAAAAAAGAAATCACATTGTATAGGACAACTGAGACTGTCGGCCATTTCTGACAAGAATCAGTGACGGCCTGGTGCAAAGCTCTGGGAGTCCCATTACTGCTCTTCCTTCCAGTTCATTTAGCTTTTGGTGACCTTCATGCTGCACAGCACAAGGCAGCAGGGATAGCAGAAGCTACTAAACCATGTATTTCCCTAGAAAGTACGACCTGGCCAATGCTGGAAAAATTGATGGTGTACTTCTCATGAGTACAAAGTCCAGAGGTTTGAGCAGTCTAAATGAAGTGGCATGGTCGTGAACCCACGTGTTGCCTTTCTACTGCTTCAGAAGGGCACAGGTGTATTTGTGGGGCTCTCTGCAGAGTGATGGCATGAGGGAGGCGTGGAGCACTTGGCACTGATGCGGGAGGCCATGCCATGGTACGGATCGGAGCTCTGCCAGTGGAAGGTCCCAGGGCTGCTCTGCAGTGGTCATACAGGCAATTCCAGAAGCTAGGGAAGGCTTTGGGATTGTTTGGAGTTCTATTTCTTTTTTTGTTCTCTCTATTTCTTTTTATTTTATATGAGTATTTTTTTTCTAACTAAATTGCATTTGTCATATTTAGTTGGAATGTGGCTTAGTAAGGAAACAGTGCTGCTAAGAAGAAAAGCAGAAGAGCTGTTAGGTAAGAGGGAACGAAACCTGGCTGCACACATACACCCAGTAGGCTTGTATAAAGCGTATCTCTATCCTGGAAAAAGGTCTAAATGGATAGCTTGGGAGCAAGCACTTTTAGATCATTCTGATCTCAGTCTGCACTCCATAGGTTATGCTGGCTCTACTTGATAGCTCTGGAAGTTTGGGTTGAATACTGTGTTTTGACTTTGTTCTTTTAATTTTCCTTTTCACTCCAAATATCTTCTGATTCTAATAAACACTAGAAGAAATGCCCAGACTTCTTAAGATATGTTTCTTATTGATATTAATGAGTCCTGCTGAGACTACGCACAGTCAGAACTCTGAAGGTAAGACCAGAAATCCTGTCTGAGGAATTAATTCTGTGTGGATGGAAAAAGCTGTATGTAGTAAAATAGATGCAGTGCTATTTAGTAAGTAGGACCGTATTCTCTGCTCTCTTGGCTTCGTGGAGCTATGCCAGCAAAGATTTTAGCCAAGATTGCTTATTAAGCAGTAGCCCTTTATTTTCAGTGTTTTTCTATAAATACTTTTAATCAAAGCTGCATTGCATGTGTGAAAGTAAATTATAGTTGTGTATATATAGTTTGATATCTGCATGACAAACATTTTTGTGTGGCAATTGAATGGTAAAATGTTAAATCAACTTTTAGTAATGGGATAATCTTTTACAGGTTTGCCTCCGTTACTACAAAAAGCTGTGGTTAGTATTTTTATTTGATCTTTCTAATGACATTTTGTCATATAATCTAAAAATAATACCCAGTCACATATATTTATCTTTATTTCCTTAGGAGGAAGTAATAACTGGGAAATATCTGAATGGTAAAATGCAAAATTGTTCCCACTTCTGTTTCTAAAAGGAATTAAAACTCAGTATGTCACTATAACTGTTTCTGTTCAATTTTTCATGTATAGCTCTCCTCGATATACTTCATTTTCAGAGGTAATGTATTACTCTCACCATTTTGATTTTAGGTATCATCTTGCACTTCATATACAATGTGTTTCATTTCCACAAACGCTGGAACGTTATGGATGGAATGAAATGGACTTGCGATTACTTTGATTTAGATCTCCTGTGAGGAGTATTTTGTCCTAATGAGGAAAAAGCCATTTTTCATGATAAAACAAAAAAACTTGCATTGAATGAGGCTGAGAATATAAATACATGCTACAGTTTTCAAAAACTTTGATAATCAATTTTGTTTATATGTTTCAGAATGGCTTTCTAAAGAAATTAGGTGCAGTTCCAGCTTTCTGTCCATCTTTCAGTCCCACTCCATCCCATATCCATTCCTTTTCCTCCAGCTCCTGGCAACTTTTGAATTATTTTCTGATTTTGTCTAAATTTGAAAGAGCAATAAAAGCCTCAAAGACAATTCTACTTTTCTGAAACTCAATGGCTGGGTAAAGAAGAAAAACATTGAAGATGCTGCTGGTGGAAAGGCAGTAAAAATGAGTCCCCATACTTTCTTTCTATAAGCAGATCAGGGCAGGCAGAACAAGGTGCCAGGAGTACTTCTACAGCTCCCAAATAGCCACTGGAGATGGTACTAATGGCAACAAGTCAGAAAATTGAGATTATTGTGGGGCAGGTGGAGTTAGATAAAGAAAAACTTAATTGATTTCTCATCCAGCTATTAATTTTTATTGCATTAAATATATTGGCTATTAATCTGGTTAGGCCAAAAAGCTGAATATTTGTGTCATTATGTTGATAGTGACAGTATTTGCTTCTCCTGCTTTTGTTTTGTCTTGTAATCAGCCATTTTACATGTATTATTTTACTGGCATTTTTGGTCCTGTTTTCTGTTGCAGTTCTAATGCCTGGACAGCAGATACGCTTACAAAAGTTATGGCATATTTTCATGCCCAAGATGTTGTATTTACTCTTAGCAGCCTGCAGGTTTGTGACATTTAAAATACATCCAAATTCTTATTTTGAAAGGATTTTTTAATTAATAAGCAACTTATCTCCACAGCCAAAGCTAGTTTGTTAATAGAGATAATTAATATGACTGTAGTGTAGCAGAGAAACAGGAAATAGGAATAGCTCCCCCCCAAGATTGCAGCAGTATGCAAGGACTAAATCACAAGAAGATCTTCTTGTATCAACTCTGATGGAAAGCACAAATTTGGAGTTTTCAGGCCATGTTTGTTTCTGAATTGTGTGTATGCACGTGCTTTTTTTTCCTCCATAAAATTGAAGGTTTCTCACAGATTTTGACTGTGGCTGTAATTTGCATTGCTTCTTATGGAATGAGAACCTCCAGAGCATCCTACAAAACACTTCCACCTTCTGAGGCTTTTCTGAGCTCTGTTTTCTGTAAGCTGTCAGTGACGTAGGTAAAAATTTGTTTTTCTTTATCCTGTGTCATAATGATTGGTTAGGGGCCAAATCCCCCAACTTCACCAGGTTAAGTGGACCCATAGCCTGCTATCCCAGACATGGAGCTCTTCTCCTCCCTGCACACACACACTCTGATAAAGGAAAATGCCAAATGTGCAACCTTGGGCTTCATACCCAAAGCCCACAGCCCTGCAGTTCTGCAGCATCAAAATCTACTCGCAAGTCCTGTTTCACTACCACTGCTCTTACAAACCTGCACGACACTGACACCACCTCTTCATATTTCCTCTTGCTGTCTTTAAAATTCACTTATACAGATGAATTTTATTATCAGTTTAAGGCTGTAATCAGCCCTGAACTCTACAGCCAAACAAGGTCCTGGCTGTATTAATATGTGGTGGTGGCCATGCTAAGACAGCAAAGGAGGACAGCATTGACTCAAATTCCTAACCAATTCTGAAATAACTCTGGTGGGAATTAGAAGAGATTTTCTCCAGTCTGGTGCTAATGAGCCTTACAGTGTTTTCTGTTTCTATGCTATAATTCCCCTTAGAGTTTTAAAACAGGCACAAGGTTGTTAGCTGGTAATGCAGTTTGATGTGAGAGGGGAGATTCTTGCCTTATGACCTGGTACAAGCTTTGCCTCCCATTTAATTGCACATTTCCTTCCTTTTTTAAGTAGTAATAATATGCACACAGTACCACATGTTCTGAGATCTTTAAAAGGTTCATTTGCAGAAAAGCATTATTACCCTTGTTTTTATGAAGGGAGAAACAGACATTTTTGTTAAATAGCTCACTGCAGAGCACTTGTTAATGACACCGGGAATAGCCTTTAAAAATGGTTTTCAGCATTGCATTTAGATGCAGTTTTCAGTTTACATTTTGTGTTGAGGATGGTTACTCTAGTCATTGACAACGTGGACAATACAGAAAGCTAAACACTTATCCCTCAAGTGGAGATTTTCAGGGATTAAAAGATGCCCCTAGTAGAATACTGTGAGCTTTATGTTTATTGTGCATATTTTTTTACACTTCAGATGTCCATACAAAGTTACTTGCAGAACCTTTTGTACCAGCCTAGGCAGCTGCTGTCCGCGTTTCAGCAGCTTGATCAGCAGCAGTTCCAGACTGCAATGAAGTGCCTCTTCAACAGCAGAAAGGACCGTCTTGTAAGTCACTACCTGAGAAACAAAAGCCGCTGTTAAAGGCTTAGATGAAGGGGAAGGGACTGGACCAGGGGTCTCACTGTGTACGTTGTGCTGTTACTTGGCAGGATTGGAGCAGGTTGCAGGAGCCCCTCTCCTTAGGTTGGTGTCTAAAAGTTTGGTGCCAAATCCAAGTGTACATTTTCTCTAAACCCAGTGGAGAAAGGTGCATCCCCAGAGAATGACCTACCTTCCTGCACAGATATTACTGGGAGAGTAGGACAAGTTGTTCTCTGAGAGTGTCTGCTTCTCTACGTAGGCTAGAAAGAGAGGCAAGATGACTAATGAAGGTGAAATTAATTATCTTGTTATAGCACCATACAAGCAAATCATGAGGCAATTTGGAGGGGAAGCAGTGTAACACGTTTTGCTTGCCCCTGTGGTGTGTTCTGTGGGTGACCCATCTTCAACAAATGCAAAACCAGCGAGCACCTCCCAGAGAGGTGGCCTGCAGAGGGGCTCACCACCCCTGGGGTGGGATGGTGGCCTTGCAGGTGACAGCACCTGGCATCCTCCCTGTGGGCCTCCAGCATGGGTGTCACTGCAGGGCTGCAGACTAACGTGGGACAAAGGCAGAGCATTTCTCTGGATGTGTGAGGTGACTGCCCAGGACAAGAGCTGGATGCTCCACTACTCAAGCAGTGGAGGCGCAGCTCTTGCTGCCTAAGCACACAGATGGGAGCCAGAGCAGCAGAGCATGAGCCCTGTCAGTACGCTGTGAATTTTGTCTTCTTGAATGGCGCACCCTGTTGTTCCAAGACCACTAATAGCAGTGACAAGTCACCAGACCTTGGACTATCAGCTCTGACCATGCTGTCATAGACACACCGGTCTGTGAGGAGGAAAAAAAAAAAAAAAAAAAAAAGTGATCCATTCCCAGCCAGCTTGGCTTTATTACCTGGGCTTGTTTCTTCATGTGCCTGATCCTCTTGGAGGGACTCTTTGTAGTAACAGCTGCAAGAAATACTGCACGGGAAAAGATCTGTTCTAGAGATGCCGACATATTAAATTGTATATGAAATAATACCCATACCATTCTAGTATCCTTTCATTTTTCCAGGTAACCAACTCTTTCATGAGAGCGTGCACTGTAACTTCGGCCATTTGGCTGCTTCTTCATTTTGATTTTGTCAAAAGACTCAAACTGATCTCTGGCCAAAACCAGACAAAATATCTGAAGCAATGCAACCCAGCAGTATTTTGCAGCTATTTTTTGTGAGAATAGCACTATATTGTTTGTAGAGTACTTTGTCAGCTTTCAAAATGAAAAATATATTGAAATAGAGAGACGTTATTTTAACCCTGTGTTGCTTGCAGGAAGTGGGAAATGTTGTTCTTGATTGGGAAAACACTAGGGAGAGAATTTTCCAAAGCCCAGGAGTGAACAGGACCTTGTTTCTTATAACACTGGAGAAATGCTTTCTGGCCCTGAGGGCTATGGACTGTGTGGCTATCCTAAGCCAGATTTTGCACATGTCAGCAGTGAACTATCTCCAACCTGATGTCATTGGGAGCCTCCCAAAAGTTCTGCAGGAGGATGCTTTCAGAAACTTGTAAGCCATTTATTTTTCCAGTCATCACAATTAGTACTATGTAGCATTTGCTGACTGTAAAAAGAGATTTCTATTTGGTCTCTGTTTTGTCAGCTGTAGCTTTCTGCTTTTATCTTGCCGTTTCTAAAAACATTTGATCATGTGTTGCTTTTTTAAAAAAGTTTACTAATTAGTGAATTAATATGCCATTGTGTCACTTAGATCAACAGTATTCAAGGACCTCTATGACAAAACCTCAGCAAATACACAGAAAGCTCTGTATGGCTGGATGAGGGAGATTCTACAAAAATCCTATAACACGAGTGGTATGTTATGTACAAAGTGTTTTCTTGCTTATCATAAGAAAATAACAGTCAATAAAAGGCCTCTCTGTTGAATTGGTTCCCAAATTTAGCATAGGACTGTTTAAGAGTAGCTGTCTTGAATACTTTTGCTGCAGAATACAATAAACAAACTGTATTGTTCGCAACAAATAGCTCTCCAGAGACATTTGTTCTTCACCTCTTCTGCACAGAGTTGTGTACCAAGTTCCTGTTCCAAGTTGCTTTTTCTAAGACTTAAATAAGATACAGTCATCAGGCACTTTGCACAGGTGTGCTGCTCACTTCTGAACTTGTGCTCAGACTAGAGTGGATCTGTCTGGGAGCACATTAGCCAACACACAATTTAATATGTGTGTATATATGTGTGTGTGTGTGTGTGCAGGAAGCTGCAAAATGCAAAAAATCTAATGCATGTGACACTGCCTTGCACAGAAAAGGGACAAAGATGAAACCAAAGTGGATTCAATCCAGTTTTATGCATTTTCTTACCTTTGTTCACCTGGCTAATGTCTCTTAATTAGATTTGCCACATCAGGGACAGTGCTGGGAGTGTTCCATGAGAGAGCTGTAATACAGTACTACTGACATGTCAAAGCGAGCACTTGGGTTTCACCAAATTCACCAAACGTCGCAGTGTATATTCTTCCTGTCCCTCTGGAAACCAAATTCAAAATTCCCACTTGCTTCAGTGGAGCAAAATCTGGCTTCTGAGAGCATGGCTATTTCAAAATATCAATGTAAAGCATAAAGTTGTGGAGGGGAAGTTCACAACACTGTGATGATGCATGCCATCGTGTGCTAAGCAGAGACGCAGGACTTGCCCGATGGTACTCAGTAGTGCTGTGAAAATCCCACAGCATCAGACATCATGGTTCATGCCTGAAGGTAATAAAAGATCTCTCAGCTCAGAAGGGACTGAGAATTACCATGCCTCTCTTAAGTCCTGCTTGGTCTTTCACATGCAAAGCAGAGCAGGTATGGTGAAGGTACGGCATCATGTTGAGCATCCAAGTTAAGACACTGGAGAAAACACCATCTTTGAAGCTCAGAGTACCCAGCTAGTCTGTAAATGCTTTATTCTTAGGAATCCTGTTTTCATTTTACATACTTTGAGAGAATGTTACTAAATGAATCACATTTCTTAACTGTTAGGCAATATTTTGTATTTTTGCCAAACTTTTTCCATATAAGTATATGAATGATTTTTAATTTTCTCTGTTATCGCTATTGCATATTGCTTAAATATGTGGTATCATCACTAATAACATATATCAGGTGTTAAAAATATCATGCCTTCCTGGTGTTCTTCAATAATATATTTGATTAGGAAAACCAAGTTTAAGAAATGCTGCTCCATACTTAATGCTAGTGGTGTAATTTTTCCAGTCCCATACTTTATCCATTTCTGTTTCAACAACATAAAACATTGATCATTTTCATATGAGAAAATTAGAAACATTTGCAATGCTATTTTGTTTCCATAAAAAAAAAAAAGTATGATTTCATAAAAACGTGGTGCTAAAAACTAGCCGATGGAGGGAACCTGACTTTCTGCTAAGCATTTTTCTGATTTGCAGGTATTTTTTGTTTGTTTACCGATAATTGTACCCGATACTGGGTACAATACATTTGAAAAAAATGATGACTTGCCAAACATTTTAGTGAGTATTTATTTGTACAAAACAGAGTTCAATGAATCAGCTTCATGGGTCAGTGCAGAAAATTTGTGGATTTTGGGAAGATACATGGTTCATCTGCCTTTAGAAGAAATTCTGAAAATTAGTCTCAATGAAGTAAGTAAAAAAAAAATATATATGGTTGGATCTATCTTTGTCCAGTTATGTCAGCTACAAACAGTATAAACAATGTAAACTTAAACATGAACAAGAAATTTACATACTTGAATTTCTTAATATGATTTTTAAAATAGATATAATGTGAATTCAAATTCATTGTCAACCAAATATTCCTCTCTTTTGTAATTCAAAAGGACTATCATTGATATGTAATTATTTATCCGCATTGGGCTTCTGTGACTTGTACCGAAAGAGGTGGGACCAGTGATATTTGACAGTTCAACAGAGAATCATTCATTCAGTGTTGCCTTCAAAAACTGTTATCCAAATCTATCTTCCTTTCTGTAAAACATAAATGGGATCGATTAATTTATAGTGTCAAACATTTTATTAGATGCAATCACTTCCTAATCCTCATGCATGATTTTGTTTGCATTGATCAGATAAGACTATTCATTAGCTACGACAATGCAACAAAGCAGTTGGACACAGTGTATGATATCACACCAGAGCTTGCACAAGCTTTCTTGGAAAGAATAAACTCATCAGGATTTGATATGAGAAACACTTCAACTATCTACAGGCAAGACTGATTTTTTTTTTCTGGCTGTGTATGGAAAGAATAAGTAAGAAGAAAAGAAAGAAGTATAAGCAGTAAATAGCTGATGAGTTTGTTGATGTGGCATAGCTTTTTACTTCTAGCAGAAAAATCTAGGCTGAAATCCAACCCTGGTTAGCAACAGTGAAGAACTGCTATTTTATGAATTTTGGATATGAGCCTAATTAGCTGATGCTTTGTCTCCAGCTCTGCAGCGAGGAGTTGTCTGTAGTATCAGTAAGAGGACCACAGCAGTGTCTGGGGGACTGAGTCAAAACTGTTGTTGTATGGTACAGCAATTAAACAAATTGGGATGGCAGGACACAAGCTGCCTTGGGTATTCAAATCACAGCAGATATTTTGTGGAAATTGTGTTACAGTTAGGATTTGAGGAGGAAATCTTAGCTCACACCAGCCACGGCTGCAGGTGGTGTCCACTTGGTGGTGTCACCAGAAGGGTTGCCCATCCTTGTCCACTTTGCAAGTGATCCTATTGAGCAGAGATGAGCAATGGTTAGATGTTTGCAACTTTTATGTGTGCAAGCAGGAAACTGCACTTTTAGGGCTCTCAAACTAGCATTTTTTTTTTTATTTATTTACTTTAACAATAAAAAAAAAAGCCAGCTTTTATTCATAAATACACAATGAGCATGAGCTACCTGCAGGAGAGTGCTGTGCTCTGCATTTACATTTGCGCTGTTATGTAAGTGGATGTATTTAGTCCCAAGACACCACTTCCTGGAGTTATTTGTAGTCTCCTTGGGGAATACCTTACAGGTGTAAAATAATGGAGAATATGCTTTATGACTTCAAAGCTCCTGTCTTTATTGCAATGTAACTCATTGACTTCCAAGAAGTGTTGTTGGTTGTCAGGGATGTAAGTGACAAAAGAATTATGCCCACTGTCTAGATTTCATGTCAGAAATTTTTAAAGTGATTTTATCACCCATGAGAGGTGCCAGATTGTCACCAATGAGAGAAATACCATGCTCCATAATCCTTAATATATTCCATTTTCCCAACACACTTATTTTATGTTACTCATTTTAACCATACTGATGATTTAAATGCACTTTTACTTTTAAGAAGTAGCATTATTCATTACTGCCAATCCCAAAGGAGACAAAGAACTCTTGGTGGTTATGCAATAATGCATCAGAAGGTAATTATTTGTTATAAAAGTGCAGTTATAATGTTTCTTTGATTTATATGTTAGTTTGATGATGTCCCATGAATTCAGATGGGCTGCAGAAGCAGTAGTTTGTTATATCACTAGGCTGGTTGTTGTTGAGGGACATGGGGAACTAAAAGCTGAGACTTTGTACACAGCAGATTTTTTTTGTTTTTATGAACTTTGTGGCTGCAGCATTGTCCACTGTAGATCTAGGTTGTGGGCATTTGAACTCTGCCTACACCTGCATCCTTGAATTGGAAAAAACACAGACTGCAGCATGTGAGTTGTGCTTTGCCCATATCTTTGCAAGTTCTTGTCTTGTATAAGTTATGAAAGCAAAGGCCAGGAGTTTTCAGGGACAAGGGAGCGATTCAGGCTTCTTACAAACTAATTCATCACCACTGCTTTAAAGTTTCAAGTCCAGAGAGAGTGATGGCACAATTTAGACCCGCTTCAGTGCAGGGCTGTAGGAAACAGCAACAAATATTCCCAAGGCACAAGTCAGGAGGCCATGTACAGCAGGTGCTAGCCCTTGGTGGTGTGAAGATATCTGCCCACTGACTACAGCCGTGGTTGTACTTTACAGAGGTTAATGAAAATGCTAAGAAATATTAGAGGTAGTGTGGAGACAAATGAGCTCCTCATCTGGTTCACAACACAGCCTTACTGTGCTGGTACAACTGAGGCGATGAACCACAGCACATTGAATCCATCCAAGGGCCTGTCATAGGGATAAAGAAATATGTTTGGTGAGACGTACAGTAGGCTTCCTTTAAACCTGAGACAACAGAGAGGCCACGCAATGCTCTAGCTGCTGTGCCACCACATGAATGAGTTGTGTTACTTGTGAAATCCAAGCAGGATTTGAAGTAGAGTTCAAAGTGTACACTCAATCCAGATAAGAACTCAGCAAGCCACTTCGAGACTTCTTAATAGCCCTCCATCCTTTTCAAAGTGGAGATCATACTGCCAATTCTGCCAAGGGCAGTGGAGTCTAGTAACTGGGAAAATCCAGGAATGGACAAATGGAACAGGGAAACTTAAATTTTTGACAGCACAAATATGAGTAGAGTTTAGCTAACTACAGAGAATAGTGCAAGTCTCTCATATCCACATTTCAGGCCAAGTAGAGTTTTAAAGATCGTTTCTTAAAGTGTTAGTGACAAACAAATGACTTAACTTTGGAGCACAAGCAGGACATACCATATTTCACGTTCCTGAGAGTGACAGCTTTTATTTCAGAAGCTAGCTAATGTATTTCTTCCATATAGGCTAGGTTTGTTGGTTTGCTTTTATGATGACATGGAACAGATGGATGCCACTGTGGCCCGGGCTTTGCTTCATCAAATGATTAAATGCAATCAATTGAGAGGTTTCCAGGCCGAGGTTCAGAAGGTGGGTAATGTGCTCATGCGTTTCTCTTATTCCTGAAAACAGGAGGAGGGACTTCTTGAATTCAGAACAAAACAGAACAAAACAAAACAAACAAACAAAAAAAAACCTACACACTAATAGAGAATGGAAAAATTACTGGGATCTAAGAAAAAAAATGAAATAGTTCTTGAGTGCATGATGCAAAGAATAAAAGTCTATCTCCCCTCCCCTCCCTCCCCCCCCACAGTGTTCATTCTTTTCTTGTTCTGTTTCTGCCATATTTCTTTGACAATTGTGGTTCTAGCTTTGGATTTTTATGGACTGTATGGTCACTAAATGCTTGCCAATGTCTATTCCAAAAACTCTAGTTAAAGTTTTGGGTGATAATTGGAAATTTGTTCTTGGCAGACTTTTGTTTCCCATCTGTTTTTTTTTTGTTTGTTTGCTTGCTTTAGCTCAAATCTCAGCTCCTGAATATTGCTATGCAGAACCAGACTTTGAATGATATCCTTGGATCGCTGTCAGACGCTGTGGTTGGACTGACTTCAGGTCAGCTGGAATCTTTGTCACCTGAGGCTGTTCATAACGCTATTGCGACACTAAACCAAGTCTCTGGATGGGCAAAAAGCCAAGTTATGATTTTATCCAGTAAATACCTCTCTTATGAAAAGGTATCTCTGATATAGCTTTCCCATCTTCTCATTTTAATTAGTGAAATGTCTTTTTTCTCAACAATACTTGTAGATTTTGAGAAGTTTAGTATCAGTATGACACTTTTTGTAGTACTGTTAGTGGTTAGAAGTTTTTGTTTAAATCAAGTAACAACATTCAAAACTGTAGCCTAAAGTAATTTCCTAGTGACATGGAGAATGCCTATTTGCGTTTGGCAGTTGTATATATTATTTTGTTTGTATCGCTGCTGCATGCAGCAGAACTTGCATGATCAAAGATCTCAGACTATATATTCAAATATACCATAATGGAAGGAATCAGGCTGCTCCCTTTCAAAATAAAGGAGCCTCTGGAAAATGGTTGCATTTGTTCTGTGGACAGTCTTGTCTGGATTGAAAAATATCAAAGGAAAGTACATCCCTAGGCAAGAAAGACATTAAATATTCAAGAAAAGTAGTTTTGATTTATTAACTTTCACTTTTAATGTGTCTGCTGTACACAACCCAGATAACTTTGTTTTCTCTGTTATGTCTGCAGGTTTTATTTTATAATATTAGTCAAATGGGTGCATTGGTAACTGGTATTAGCACCCAGTCATTCTACAGGATGAACCCGAAGGAGCTTTCTCAGGTCATTCGAGGCACAATATCCCAACACTCAACAGATTTATCACCTGCACAACAACAAGGGATCCTCAGGAAGGTACCTGTGTAGCAGGTTCTCTTTGTGCAAAAGCATAATAAAGCATAATATGCAGAGCATGATTTAAAATCTTATCACTGAGATGTGGGTTTAACTCAATGGTTAATCTTTCTAGTGTTATGTTTTTTGTTTTTTTTTTCTGGATAAGAAGACTGTTTTGAAGGCTCTCTCTAGCTTAGTCTATGGCTTTTCTTAATATTGACAAGTTTTTCTTTTATCCTCTTTAGAGAAATATTATACAGAATAGAAAGTCAGATCCTGTAATTCTAAGCATAAGTTCTGAAATGTCATGTGTTTGTCTCTTCCGCTTTTTAGATGGCTTCATCTAGAGATTTTTCTTCACCAGTCACAGATATACAAGGGGCTTTCTTTAGAGAAATATCTCTTCCTTATTTATGGAAAGAGAATGGATATAATTCTTCAGTGATGAAAGAAAAAGAACTAAGAAGAAGCCAGGTAAAAAACATTATGAGCTTTCCATTCCACTGTGATTTAGTATGATGGGAGAACAGGAAAAGTGTTGTAATAGATATGTGTTAAAGGAATGTAGGCAAAAGGAAGGAACAGCTGCACATGCATTTTCGTGTAAGCAGCTAGTGGTCACTTACAGCCTGGCAGTATTCTAAGTCAATATAGTGGAAAGAAAAGCATTAATGTTCTGAGTTTTAGTATCTTAAAGTTTCTGCTATAAATTCTCTTTCTGGTGCTGTGTATACTAGATGCTTGCATGTACGACCAGTCCTTTGGCTCTTTCCAGAGACAGAGGGTTGGACCAGATGACCTCCAGATGTCCCTTTAAACTTAAATTTTATTCTGTGGTCATGTTCCACAAACATGTTTAACATCACCCCACAGTGCCAGTCACTGATATCTTATGAAGAACAGGTTCACCGCTGGATGCCTGCCAAATTTTGTTGTTGGCCAGGCTGGACCCCAGAAATGCCTTTAAGATACATAAGAGCATTAAGTAAACAAAAACCTTGCAGTAGTTATTGTATCTTTCAACTGCATTACCAATGTTTAACTTCGTGTGGTGGTTTTTATTTCAGGCTTTATATCTGTACAAGTTATTGTCTAAGAAAAGCTCTCCTGTTGACCTCCTAAGGTATGGATGATAGTCTCTTTTTGGAAAGGGTTTAAGTCTAGATCTGTGATCAAAACAACTTTGAGGTAAACACTGTGGTTATTTTGTACTGTTTTGTTTGTTCATTCCTTGGTACCACAAGATAACTTAGCTTCTTCCTTATAAAGGGTCTCCAAATCCAAATCACTGCACTGCAGAGGTTTTGTTTTGTTGTTGTTTTCTTTTGACAGCCTTCAGATTACAAGGAAGAGAAGGAAGGTGGTTGTAGAAACTAAATCTTAGGTCATTGTTGTGGGGAGTAAGGACTGAATTCTGCTTAAAATACTGAAAAATTTGAACTTTGCTTTCCCTATCAGCACAGGACAGCTTGTGAAAGGAGTGACTTGCCAGCTGATTGAAAGTATGGGCACAGACTTTTTTTTAAGCCATTTTAAATTCTTTGAAAAGAACCTTCATCTGCTTTCTCCATATCAGGTAAGACCAAAAAAAGCAATTTCATTTTTCACTTAGGAATTGCAAGAAGTTTCTACAGTCATTCCAACTTGCTAATCCATGAATAATCTGTCTGGAAATATATATATATGTATATAACTTTTGGAAAGATGCAAACACTCCTATGCACCCAAATATAGGGTGTTTTATCTCTGATGTCTGCAAAAAGTAAAATCCTCTGTAAAAAGAAAAATGTTCTCTGTGAAGCTAACATGCAGTCTTCTATATGCTAATTTACAAGTCATATTTCAGTTCTTCCTCAAAAATAACAAATACTTAAGATCTTAATTTTTTGTTACTTTTAGGTTAATTGTTTGGCTTGGAAATTTTGGAAAGCCTCCAATACATCCATTCCTCCTTTCCTCTTGCTGGTGCTGCCGTAAGTTACATTTTACTGTATCGTAAGTTAGCGCATCCATAGTAGAACATTCGCAGTAGTCCACTTTTTTAATGACCTCTTCAGTCCTGGGAAAGCCAGTAAGTTGGATAAAAGATAATATGTAAAAAGTGATTGCAGCCAAAGTTTACGTCAAGTGAAAGCTGGTAACGCCCAGTGTCTTTTAGCATACCCTATTTTTGTCCCAATTGTGAATTCCGTTGCATCCTTGAAATCAGACCCCCTTGAAGCATGCTCTGTGCAGAGTGAATCACAGCGATATAGCAGCAATGGAAAAGTTTGTTATGCTATAAAACAGTTTACAGTGTTTCTGATAACTGCTGAAATAAAGGGGATAATTGAGTAGGTTGTCATGAGTGTCTTGTTGAGAATCAAAAAACGAGCTTAAATATAGTTTACGCTGGATTTTTTTCTTTGCATTTTTGTTGTTTGTTTTTTTTCCTATACTGTGAGCCTTTTTTTTTTTTTTTTTTGGGGGGGGGGGATTGCTTGATTTTTTTTTTTTTTTTTTTATATTCCACTTAGTTCCACTTACTTTTTTTTATGGTGTCTTTTTTGAAAGCAGAGATGCAAGATAAAGCCATCACATTGCTGCCCACGAGTACTGCTCTGTGTCATTAGAAACATTTCAATGTGTTTAGAAACATTATTCCTTAGTTAGAAAAATTTTGCATGATGTAAGTAGTCAAGCTTTTCTTCCTCAGAAAAAAACTAACAGTCTTACCATGATAGGAACTGCTGAGCTGTAACTCCTCACATGTGAATTCTCCTTTTTCTCTTTCTTTTTTCACACCTGCTGAAAGAGATAAAATGGTATGAGAACTACTATTTTGCTAGAATATTTTTAACTAATTTAAGAAAAACCTGATCAGAAGTGAGAAAATAAAATGGTTCTATTTAAAAAGGCATTAATTTTATTTGAAATGTGTTGAGGATTAATTGCAACTTTTCTGGCCTGCCTAGTTTATCATTTTTCAAGTTCAGGATTGCCTCTGAATTTTTTCAGTCTCCACAGATTTTATGGGTGTGGTTTTGGGCATCTGAGCGTCAGGTTTGCATTCAGATATCATTTTAATTCTTTTGGCAGGGTTGAGTACCTGGAGTATGTTTCAGGCCCCCTGTGTGTCTCTTTCATTGAAAGCCTTGGGAAAACTGAGGTGGATCTCTTGAATCCAAGCCTTCACAAAAAAGATGCTGTCCTGCAGAAAGTGCAGGAGTGCTTGGTAGGCATGGTTTGGGGGGGGGGTGGAGTCAGTGGCAGAGGGGGAGCTGCACGGAAGTCATCTGTGATTAGCCACTGATAGTTCCAAACTCAGTGAGAGCAGCTGATTAGCTTTGTCTCCCTTTATTGTCATGTGGTGCATCACAGTCATACCGCCTGCTTGTACTCTGCAATCTGCATGCAGATGCTTGTGTTCTTCTGTAGATAGAGCCTGTGCCTTTGGTTGATGTTTTCAGCTCTGTGTTTGTGTACCTGGCATATTTTGTGGCTTCTGCCACCAAAGAGCTGCAGCAGTTACCATTTTTTAGGGAAAACTAGTTCTTGATGTAGCTGTGATTATTCATGTCCTTGTACATACAAACCAGCTGTATAATCCCCTGTGTTTTGGCTAGAGAAATCCCACAGAGTGAAGCTTTGTGATAGCAAGAGCTTGTGGCCCCTTTGCCATGCAGGGCCATGTGAGGACTCTCCTATCTAGAAGAACTGCACAGCTCCTGCACTTGTTGGGTGGTCACCTGGAGACTGTGGCAGGAGATTTAGTTTTAATTATTTTTTAAGCGTAGTTCAATATGAAATAAACAAAGAATGCTTATTAAATATCAAGTGCTTATAAAATATCACCAATTTTGTTGGTAAGAGCAAGAAGTATAAAGTAGCTTCAACAGAAACTATAGATTAAGTTGCCAGTGCAAACTGTTGCCTCTTTGTTCCTTAGAGGATCACAAAGCTTAAATGTGTTTTGATGCAGCCGAGTGATACAGGGCAAGAGCCAAGATTAGCTCTGCCAACAAGGTAAACGCTTCTTGTTTCAGAATGGTTCCATTGCTGATGAATATGATGTTGACCTACTTGGAAACCTAATCTGCCACTTACCTCCAACCTTTCTACACGACAGAATGTCCCTGAAGGCAATGGCAGCAGCCCTTCATCAGTTCAAACTCTGCCAACAGCTCAGCCATGAGCAGAAGACTGAAATTAAATACAAACTCCTTGAGTTATATGGGTAAGGTATTAGGTATACCACCCTGCTTCTGCTGAAGGTTAAGGCATGCAAGGTATTAAGGCAGTGCTCTTTGCTCACTAGAATGACATTTCTGTTCTGGTGTGTAATGTGATAGCTGTGGAACAAACTACAGCCCCAGGGACACTCTGAATGAGGTAAGTCCCAGAGAAAAAGGAGAGAAGGCATAACAGTTGAGGGAGGGGCAGGCAAAGAGAATCTGGCATGGCAAGAGCAAGGGTGTTACTGGCAAGGCATGGCACAGGAATGCAAAGAATTCTCACACTCAGTGCACTGGTGTGAGAAGAGAAATAAAGACAACCTGTGGCAAAGGGAGAGAGCCAGAGGAGGAAGCAGAGGGATGTAAAGTTCAACCAGGTGAAGCAACAGAGCGGAAAGCATGTTGGATATCATTAATGACTCAGATTAGGAGGCTGGTTCAAACCACGCTGCTGTATCAGTCATGCAAAAAGCAAAGTTGTCCTCTGGTGAGGATATACCATCTGTCTCTTACATTTTCTCTTGGAGGTATCTTGCATTTGAAGATGGAGACTGAACACCCAGTTTCTGACCATGCCTTCAGTCCCAAAGTCTGTCACTCAGTGCTTCTAGGCATTTTAGTTGCTCATTCAGGTTCCTCCTAGTTGTGAGCATTTTTCTGGCAATGGAGTAGATATATTTTCCACCAGAAACCATCCCTGCATAAATCTGAATGAATCATGATTCACTGTGCTAAATAATACTTCATTTTACTATTAAGAAAATACTTGTCCAGTCCAATGCCCTCATAATGGGGCAACAAACTCCACAGAGTTTTCTATGAGAACACACACTAGTAACAGAGTGGTTGGACTACCACCTTCTGCAGGGGCTTGCAGGATGAAATTTATTTATCCAAGTGCTCTCTTAATCAACTCCCAAGTGGGTTGGCAAATGTGTCAGATTTGCGTCTTAAATCAACTCCTGAGTGGGTTTGTCAGATTTGTGTCACACAGCCCAAATAGGCATAGTGCTAAGCAACATATATTTTGAAACTCCCAGCACCACTCAGAGCTGAATTTCCTTCCTATTCCTACAAATAATTTAGCATGTTATTTCAGAAGGTATGGTACCTATAAGAGAGAAAATCTCTAATACAGAAATGGCTTAGGTGTCATGAGATGTGGCTCTCCAAGGTGTTAGAGCTGCCTTTCACTACTCTTGACATTACAGATGAAGAAAATAATACTGAGAGTAAAAATTATGGAGCCAATAAAATAGGTATTTAAGTTTTCTGTTTCATCATCTACATTTCATGTTCCCATCCCTTAGTTTCAACAAGTTTGAGTTACTTTCCTGAATTGTTTTGTGAATTTGATCTTTTCAGAACCAGGGGGAAACTGTCCACTCTTGTGAGGTGTGCGTGGGCCTGTTTTTTAGAAATGATGAGCACCCACAGCTCCTGTTGGCCTCAGAGAAAGCTGCAGTTGCCCAACAGCAATGAAAACCAGCCCGTGAAAAACTGCAAATGATTTAATATTGGAATAGGATTGTTTGTTTGTTCAGATTTTTAAGCAAGTACTGGTAAATATTGCTTACCTGAGTATTAAACAAGTTGATCCTTAGGATATGGTATTTGGAAAAAAGATGGTTTCAGGTTTGGCTGTGAGGTTTCTGCTTCTCTTTTGATGCCATTTAGCAGGATACTACTGCAGCATGAATCTGAGAGAAAATGGGATTTTTTTTTAAAGGTCTGTTTCTCCTCGCTTGAACACTGTCATGCTAAGAACGCTGTAAGCATTGAGAGACAGAGAGAACAAAGCTCCATGACTGCAATGTTTGAAGGCTTTCTCTGAATGTATTGAATTCCACTAATGCCCCATATGTCAGAGAGAGATGAGAAAGTACAGTCTGATGTTAATACATATGATTCATCGCACTGGCATAGGAATATCTGTCTTTTCTGTATAATACAGCATAATAAAAACTCTGAAGTTTTAGTATAATTTTGACTGCAAACATTCTTGATCAATATACTTTTCCAAAATGTTTCTTCAGCTCCCCAAAGAACTGGACAGCTGAAACAACATTAGATATTGGACCATTCATAGCTCAGTTGTCAAAAGGAGAATTAAATGTACTTGCTGAAAAGGTATGTTTTTATTTTAACTTTTAATTTTGTAAGAGATAATGTTAAAATTCGGGTTTCACAGTCAAAATTATGTAACTTGAATATGTGGCCCTTTGCCCAAGGTGTAACATAGCACACACAGCAGTAACTGATATCCTCAGCATTGCACTTTGTAGTTTCTTTGCCCTCTTTAGTTCATATAATTTTACATTTTTTTATGTATAGGGGTAAACTATACTGGAATGAGGTTTCATTATTCTGCAGAAATATGTGAGCACAGTCAGCAATTTTTCCTCAGGAGATAATGCATATAATTGCCCAAATAGCATAGGACTTCTCAACTGAAAGGGAGGTGTCTAGCAGGGTGGAGGAAAGAGGTCCAAACATCACAAAAGCCTAAAAGAAAAGGTGAACAGGTAAAAAATATTCCTCATAATTTAATTGGGTACATATCCTCAATTCTTATATTTATCTGACAAATGTGAAACAAAATATTTTCCATACTCTATATCATGCAACAGAGGAGCTTGTTGCTACAGTAAGGTCTGGAGACAGTCTGCAGTCAGGCAGTTCTCACATGTTGCCAGAAGCTGAGAGGACATACAAGAGGAAGAATTGCCCTGAATTTGTTTTGTTTCTAACATTGTTTGTCCTTAAAGATCTTCCACTAACCTTTCAGAAGCAGCCAGTTTATTCTCGTTCTCTTGTGAAACATCTGCACAAATTGGAAGGAGGCTGAGCTGTTACTAACCCCTACTTCGCTGAGGTCTGCAGGAGTCTCTCTCCAAAACAATTTGTTTTAAAAGGGGGAAAGATGTTTTACCCATTGTTTTGCTTTCCTTTTGAAGTTCCAAGATATCATTTTGCAAATAGCAAAGACAGTCAGGCCAATTTCTTCAGCCAAAGAGCTTCTATCAACTGTATTTGAATCCGTCTCCAATGCCACTGCCAACACTAAACCACCTCTCATCAGACCAGGTGAGTGTTTCACCTGGTGTCTGTGTGGTGTCAAAGTGCCAGATTTGTATTTGGGGCTCTGGTGGTGTAGTTTAAACTGACTTTTCATTTTGACTTAGTCATTAAATGCATTCCAAGAGCAGGACAGTAAAAATTAAAGCAACTTAAAGTAACTTACCAAGGATGAGTCTTCTAGCTAAAACAGTGAGTCTGTAGCCATCTGATGCACTGACCAATTGCTGAAAACCTTGATCTCAGTACGTGATTGCAGGGTTGACATCTCCTGGCATGTCTGTGAGTGCACAAAAGAAAAGATTAATGACTTGTATTACAGTTTCCTGTTTATTTTGGCTTTTTTTGGCTTCCTTTGTAACAGAAATGAAACTCCTTGAATTAAGAAACAGTGGAGGTGACAAGTTACTGTTGTGCCAAAAGATTACACGTAGTTAATCCTTTGCCACACATGATCCTGTGTTGACTCAGCTGTTCTGAAATCTGACATCGGTGGTGGCACAGTGTTTTGTCTGTCCAAATGGGCAAAGTTTGTTATAATCTGAAATATATCTTAATTAGCAATCAGCCTACTAGAATCTCTAGTGACAAATGGATCATTTTCTTTGTAAAAAATGTGTACTCTGACTATATTCTATTACAACAATTCCTTCTTTTATCTTAAATTCACCTAGGCAGAATTTTTAGGCCATGCTATCCTGTGCTGTGGAGAACGACAATGCTGTAGGGGAGGCTTTTGAATACACTGCTTAGAATTTAGAGCCCAGCAGTTTCAGGGTGGTTGGTACTGTCTATATTTATGCCTTTGAAAACCTCCCCATCAGTTCTGTCCAACAGAATGCACGTCCAAGCTCTCACCTAGCCCTGTGCCTGCATGGAAATGCCCCCACTTGTATAACAGCAATTCTGAATGATGACTGGTGTCCCTTACAATGCTGTATTCATGCACAGAGGGAGGTAGAAAGTGTTATGCAGAGCTGTATTTTTGCATTGCCTGAACAAAACCATGACCTCTGTTGAGCAGAGAAGTCATTACACATTTTGCATGCTCTAAAAATGCAGGATCAAGCTGGTAGAGTAGCAGAGTCAAGCTGAATGGATCAAATTCACTCTTCCCTGAACAAATAAACCACCAGATCATTAACTGTTAAGAAATTAATTAAGAAATGTGTAGGCCTGGGCCACAGGATTAAAGGTTCAGCATCAGATGTTTCAGCACATTTCTGTCCTCACAGACGATTTTTTAGAACTCTGGATCACAACACACAAATCCCAAAGGCTTCTCTAATCAAATTTCTGTCCAGTGCAGTTGCAGAGCTGTCTCATACTTGCACTGCAAGACCAACATAGACTTGCCAGTGAAACCAATGATCTTTGTCAAAGGATAACAGGGTTCCATGGCTGCTCACTCTTCACTCAGGGTGTGCTGGCTTAGCTGGGGGCAAGAGTGGAAGATGAGAAATGGAGGGATTGCTTGTTCTGGTCCAAGAAATTCTGCGCTCCAAGTGTGGTATCGAAGTTCTGTTACCAATCATAATCTTATCAACTCCACAGAGCTCACACAGTAGTTTCAGTAAGGAATGAAGTTTTCTATCTAACTTCTAAATCACTAGAAAATTGACTACTAGGAAAGTGGCTCTAGAATGACATGGATGGCTCTCCATGCTAACAGCCTGCTATTTAACATTTCCTACTGTCTGGTTGTGAGCAAATCGTAACTAAAGTAATAATTACAGTGACAGTTCTTACATCTATGCCTACGCCAAGGAAAAAACACAGGTGATGCTTAAAGCAGATTGGAGCATATGAGGGCAAAACTCATTTGTTTAAGGCAAGTTGGAGCATACAAGGAATCATCTGTCCAAAATGCTACCAGAATGGAGCAGCAGTGGTGGAAAAAGAATTCAAGTTGCTTACTTCACAGCACTGAGACGTTATAATATATTACCTTTTACCATATTATAATATGTTCATCAAACTAAATATGATTATATAGTAGAAGGAAGAATGAAATAGCATCAGATACAGGAAGTAAAGCCAGGAGTCTAATTAGTATTTCCCTCTGTAATAGTGCCAAAGTTGCAAATAATATGTTGCAAATAATAAAATCAATATTTTTTTCCATGAACAAAAAATAATAGGTTTTCACGACTTGGGGAAGGGAACTGCATTGTGTCTGGATGCCAGTATTTACATGAGAAAAGCTGACCTTTTTGCAGCATGGGAAAGTGAAACAATGCAGCTTCACAGGAGAGCACATACAGAGAGAGCAGAACATCAGCTGGTACACTGCAAGCTGAACAACATTTTCGTTTGCTCAACAGATTCAATCTTTTCAGTGTTCTACCCACTATTGCAGCTTCCTTTGATGCAAATAAATCCCTCCTCTGCCTCCTTTCAAAGTACAAATCTACTTTGTACATCCTCGCTTTATTTATCTGTGGGAACTTAGCTCAGACATAGCATCTGTGAAACTCTTGATTTTTACTGGTAATGGCCATATCTGAAGACATGTAGAGATTATTTGGTTTACTTCATTATTTAATAAGGTTTTCCTAAATTAGTGACAGGAGAAAGAGAAGTAAGTGAGCACATTAGGATTCCAGTTTCTGCTTTCCATCAATATTAGATGTAGATTACAAAGACCAGGTTTTGTTAAAATTCACACTGGAAAATGTCTCATTTGATCATGCATAGGTCCAGAACCTGCCCATAAATCAGATTTTTAAATGCAGGTTGTCTGTCCAAACAGTTGTGCTCTAAGTGAGCCACTCTTTCTCATTCTTGACATTTTAACAACCTCCTTGATACAGAGAACAAGCACCGTGCTCCTCTGACACATCCAGTTTCTGTCTTCACCTTGTTTAAATGTCAGGCAAGTCTTACAAGCTATACATCTCTGTCACAGTACTTTAGCATGAAGGGGCCCCTTGTGGTTGTTACTTTCTTATGGAGCTGGGTTCATGTATGTGCTGGTTGAATGTGAAGTTCATTCAACTGCAGCTTTTCTGGGAGATCAGGGGTGAACAGCCTTGGCGGTGGAAGGAGGCTTCCACTGAGGCTGTTGCAGAGATTTGTGTTTCGGTCCTACTGCAGCATGGCCCCCAGTGAGCAGTGCTTTTACTGCAGACTAAGCCCTTGTGTGGGTTTTGCTTCCTTTACAGAACTGGACTTGAAAGAAACTTGGAACATCTTGGTTGCTCTTAGCACTGTGCGCATTCAGTTTTTAGTGTTTGTTTTTTTTTTCCTGGCATTGTATATTATAACTGTTCTGAAACACAGCTACTCCTCTTTTCTTTTCCAGCATGTACTGCCTTTGGAGGACAAAGAATGTACCTGATTTTTTGCAAATTAGGCAAATTCTGCTTTTGTATCCACTACATCAATGATGTAAATATTTAAAGAAATAATTTCATTGTAAGATAATTAGTTAATCAATATCACATTGGCTGCAGTTAATTCAGTCTGTCAGCCTCTTAAATTTTCCTGTTGGTGAATTTCTTTTTTGCAGTCTCCTTGAGGAAAACTCTTAGTATTTCACTTTTTTTTTCCAGATTGCTTGGGAACCAGAGCCCCTTCTTCAGATGAAATTATTAAATTAGCAGAAGCAAATGTCTATTGGTCAGTTCAGGAACTGAAATGCATGGATGCAAGGACTTTTGACAAAAATGTGGAACGTCTTGGGACTGTCTCTGGTTTTAACAGCTCACAGCTTATGGTGTTGAAGGAAAAAGCCAAGCAGGTAACTGTACTGTCTGTGAAAGAAAATTAAATCCATAATTTGGATTTAATTAAGGGCCTGGGCAGTATCTTTGTAATCACGAGTTGCAGTCAGAACAGTGGTTCTGACCATGACCTTTGGGTAAATAAGGCTGAAAGTGCAATTTTTAGAAGTGCAGCTCAGCTTTTAAAACTCTTGAACTACAGGTGCTCGAAGGGAGAGAGCACTGGTCAGATTTCTGAAAGCTGTCAGTGACTGCAGTTCTGTTTCTGCTGCTGTGCTGGGGTAGGACAACAGCCCCCCATGTCAAATTCTTTCATCCCAAGACAGCCTTCCTCTGTCAACACGGAGATGTGTGGGTAGGAAAAGGGAAAAAAAATCCTAGAAGGTGAATGCTACTTTTATTATCTGAGATGGTGGAAACTAAAGTGTTTTACAGCAGTGCAATGTAACAGCGTGCTTACAGGTTGATAGCTTCTCTAGAGAAATTGTCTACAAGGTTAATATGCTCCTAGCCCAGCTGTATTCAATGCAAAGACACTGAAAGATACACAGATCTGTAGTGCACTGAATTTTGTATATTGGGTCTTTGTGGTAAGACAGACTGCTGCTGGACAAGGACAGACTTCCTATATATTAATTTGTGGAACAGACCTTAGTGTTACACTGAACACCAAGCATGAGAAATCAGATAGTACAGGCAAAGACTACAGCTCTCTGACATTATATGTATAAGATGCTGTTATATTATTAACTAAAGGGCATCTTTGATTAAATGTTTGATTAAACCAGCTTTAATTTCTCCTAAATTGATTTATTTACTCCAAAACAAACTACATACTACCCGTGGTCCCAAACTAATTCAAAAAGCCTAGTTATCAGATTGGGTCTTAATGAAAGTAAGCAGCTTAGCTCACTTGGAAGTGGAAGGTCTCCAGGCTCTGTGATAGTAACAGATGTATGGATTTGCATTCTCTAGGTGAATGAGGACAAAGGAGCGGTTCAGTTTTCATGTATTGTGTTATTTATACCATTATGTCTGAGATTTCATCCAGCGCTGTCAGATGATGCTATTTATGAAACAGCTCAAACCCTGTATTTTATGACCTAGATCAGGAAACAGACACACAACATTTTTAACTGTATGTGTTTCGTGTACCTCTTAAACTAGAGAATTAGGAGCTTTAAAACCAGGATAATGTTTTTTACTGTCTCTTTTCTTTGGAAAAGACTGAAATTTCCCAGGCTTAAGCCCCTGTTCTGTTTCTTTATGATATCGTAAAACCAGCATAAAAGATCTGGTGGAAACTCAGTCAGGAGATATAGGTCCAGCAAAAGCCTCTCTTAAGCAAATCTTTAACCCAAGGGTCATAGTTGAGAAGAAACACCTCAGCAGCCTTGCGGCTGCTCTGTCTCAGATGTGTACATTGGTATGAACAGCACATAGCAACTCTGGGTAAGGATTATTTTATTCCAGAGGTCTGGCCCTTTGTGGATTGTACAGTACCACATGCATCTTAAGGTGCAAACACTATTTAGTAGGTAAGTACAGAGAGATTCCTTCAGTGAGTCCTCACTAGCATTCACCCTTCCAGCTTTTTGAACAAAAGCTAGATCGTGGCAATCCTGAAAATAGAAAAAGTTTTTCCATGGAATGGTCAGCTTAGCCCAGGTCTGGCTTTTTACATTTATTTCTCTAGATGAAGTTAGCAGCACAATCATGTACTCGAAAACTTCCCTGTACCAACTAACATATTGCAACGTTGCTGAAGTATCTGAGACCTTTAAAGGGAACTTTTTTTCTTATACTTGTCTTGTTCAAGTTATTCCCTTCAGCCAGAACGTAGCATACTTTGTTTTTTGTTTTTTTGTTTTTTTTTACAAAGGCAGTTGGCCACATCCTGCATGCCCTGAGAGATACTGCCCACCAACTATCAGCTAAATATTATTGACAGCTCCAGGTTCTGCAAATCCAGCTCTTGATGCCCTTTTGTTATTCCTTATCCAGACAGATCTTTTCCTGTAATCAAAATTTCCTTGGGGCTGGTCTGTAACAGCTTCTTAGTGACTGTAACTATATCACAGATAAAACTAGAAGCAGAACTCAGTTTAAATACATTGGTATTGATATTTTAGATAAACTAACTATTGTTAATGCAGAACCTTCAAAACCTTCACAATATCCGGTCTCTGCATTCTGTGTGTGAAGAAGCCTACATCAGGTACTGGGACTTTTAAAACCAAAGTTTTGGGGAATGGTTTACCTACAGTAAGATTCACAATGATCTAACAGATGCTGTACATTAATGAATCTGTTCTAAAGGTTTGGGGATCACTGTCAGGCTGGAAGAGTTACCATATTGTTTCTCTGGGGCGCATTGCTCTAGCACTCACTGAAGATGAAATTGAAGAGCTGGATTTACATCTGATCGACACCATTTCTGTATTGAGTCAGCAAACAGAATGGACTCCTACCCAAGTAAGTACATTATTGAATTTACTACTGGATTCGTAGTAAATTCTAGGTCCTAGAGGACCCCTTTTTGGGACTCAAGTCCTAGAATCACCCAGGAAACTGATACAGCCACCCCCACCACTCCCTGCTGGTTGTCTTCAGCCTTGGCCCCTGCAAACAAGGGCTGGTAGGTCAGCACTGATGTCTGCCTGGCTGTTGGCTTCTCTGGTGAGATGGCCAAGAGGACATCAATAAGTATTAATTGTAGTGATGACCAACCTGTTCTTTAACACTTGCCCACCAAGTAATAGAAGAGGGTCAGCAGTTATTAGCAAATATGCCATTTAGATACTATGCTCTTCTCATATCCCTCTCCTTGAATAACTTCTAGTTATGTCAATGGGCTTTGATATTAAAATGAGAGAAAGTTATAGGTTTTTATTTGTCTATGTAATTGGTAGCATATTTCTGACTTACCACTCGGTTGCACAGATGCTGGCATGGTGGCATCCAGCTTTGGCAGGGTATCACAAGTCTGCTTAATAGATTCATTTTCTGAGGAGCATTATCAGAAGGAAGCACTTGGGAGGATTTTATACAATAATAGTTGGCTTTTGAGATTTCTTGCTGTCAGTAAGAGTAGCAACTTAAAAGAGATTAATCTCACCCAACTTCAACTGTCTAAAAGACAGGCAGCTAGTTTAAGCTAGTTATTGCAGCTTACCATCTCAGATACATTAGGATCCCTTGGAAGACTAGTTTCTTCCACTGACTTTAGTGGCCTATTTAAGCTAGACATGCAGTTTGTAAATGGTCAGTTTAGGATGAGCACCATCCTAAGTGATTTAGGTTTGCAAAGACATTTTGGCACCTACATCCCATTCACATCTGAATCTTAGTCCTAAACACAGGTCACCATCTATATGTGACACTTATATCAGGTTGTCCTGCCTTATTTTAGAAAACCTAAAAATTTCATGTTGATCCCCTTGAGTAATTTGCATTTCCTTCTTACAATTTAATTGAATTGGGCAGTTCTGTTAGGCACTTCCATGCACATTTCTTCTGGGGAAGTGGTTCATTGTGACCCAGCACAAGACACACTGGATTCTTTTAACTTGCTTTCATTTCAGAAGTGGCCATGTTGTAACCATGCTCTGCTTAGATGCCTCACAGAGGTGGTGCCTGTTCTAAAGGCCATACAAAACTCCATTTAATTATGTTGGAGAGGATCCATTGTAAGACTCCATAGTTTCCAGTAAGACTTTGAGGTTCTAATACCAAAACCTTCAATTATGTTCACTCTGTTCATGCCTAATATCTTACTATTTTTGCAGGCAAGATCTATTTTGCACAGTTTTCTAGAAGACTCTGGCCAGACAATGAGTACTTTAAAAAGCTTTGATTTAGTTGGATTAGGAGCTATTCTCTGTGTTCTGAACTCCACAGAAATCATGTCCGTAAGGAGTGTTGAATTCAGGTACCGCATTTGATACTTATGAAATATGTATTAGTATTTCTATTGACAAAATGCAGTTTGTTTTCCTTCGAGATTTCCAGAGCCTAAAGGCCTCTTTTAGTTTGCACTTTATATGTTTTAAGAAAGACAATAGATGTTATGGAAAGCATACAGTAGCTGTTTAAAATATAATCCATTTTAGATTTTCTCTACCGTTTATATTTCACCAGTCAAATATTGCACTGAGAAACTTGGGCTTTTGCTCAAAGCATTAAACATTTCTGTGCAGCATTTGTACATATATTTTTAACTTTAAAAGAGGTTTACAGTCTTGTTACTGCAGACTAAGTATGTTCCAAGCACTTTTAATACTGCATGTGATTGCAGCATATCATATTAACCTTGTTGCCTTTTGCAGTGCTGCTGTTGCAAGAATTGGCCTGTTGCTGTGTAGCACTCCTGTTCTGAGGCAGTTTAAGAAGATGGCAGAGTCTGTGTTTGGAGCTGCAACCAGCTGGAATGGCTCAGTATTACAGGAGATTGGTACTATAGCAGGTAACAAACTTCAGACTAGAGATGGTAATAGTTGTGAAGAAGTATTATTGAGCATTAGGAGACAGGTTCATGTAGTAATGCATTTTTCTAGACTGGCAAAATATTTCTTCCAGGGAGGAGTCATCTGCAGGGATGGATGTTCAGCAATTTCTGTAATGCTAAGGAAAAGTCGTGGTAGTCTCCATAAGGTGCCTTTCATTGTGCTTTTTTTAAACTTTCCATTAATTTCACTTAATGCTTCCTAAGACTTCTTGTATCAGAAGAAGCTGTGAAACAGCATTCCTGAATAACACTGCTTATATTTTTGTAGATTTAAACACATCTCCCCTCAACTGTCTCTTTTAGAAGCAAAAGAGTTATTTAATGGTCCCTCGGGTAGTACAGGTTCCGTACCGATAGCTAAGGTCGGATTATTTCTAATATTTGAATATAATGAAAGAGGCGAACAAAAAAAATGGTATTTTTTTTTTATGAAACACTGAAGAAATACATTTATTAGATATTTTGTGCAAGAGCTTAAAATTTGTGTTAGCTTAAAAGTCAGTCTAATAAAAAACATATTACCTTTGCAGGTGGTTTGAATGAGGATGAATTAAAAGCTTTTGATAAAAACCTGATGCCATATTTCCAGCCAATAGCAATAAGCCACATACCTGGTGAAATTTTCCAAGTAAGAGCTTTATTAGTGAAGAAGAAACCAAACGTATGTAAATTCTACTCTCTTATGAATGAACTGCAGCACTGATTTATGGTTTGGCTTGGGGTTTCAGCAAAAATTTTTCTGCGGTCTGCTAAGTGAGAGACAGTCAAAGATCTGAAACATTAACTTTCAACTATATCATCTGTATTTGTGATGAACATAAAATATGTTAAACAAGCTTTTTTTTTTTTTCTCCTTCAAATGCATCCCAAGGGAAAAGAAAAGATCTAGGGTCAGAAAGCACAGAAAGGACTCTTTCTTCTGACACTGTATTCAGATCTGAGCTTTCTTCTGTTTATTAACATTTGCAGAGATGCTATCACAGCTACACATTTCTCTGCTTGACTACCTAAGAGCCTTTTTATTATCTTAAAATCTGGCACCATTCTCCGGAGTTGGCTCTGAGAAACAGATTGTACAAGCAGATACAGATCAGAAAGGAATTACATCTAATTAAACCTGTTCTGAATGTGGACCAGAAATTAGAACATGGATCTTGAGATCATTGCCCCAGACATTATTTGACTTAGTGACAAGATTAATATTCTGCCTAGGCTGGTCTCTGTCAGATGCTTGGGCAAGCAATATACTTCTGGACAGATGAGCTAAACAGATAGTTAACTGTGTCAGGTTCCATAAATGAGAAAAACTCCTTGAACACTGTTCTGCACAGTACCATCAACAGTTTAGATAAGCTTGAGATGTCCTTAGTCAAACTATCTCTCTGGAAAACAGGCAAAGCTGAGGGTCTACATCATGTAAAATTTCTTTCAAATAATGTACATTTTTGTTAGTAAGAATAGTAATGATACTACAAAAGGTGCTTAACAAATAACAGGCAAGCTTCCCAGAACAGTTTTCTACCTTTGAAAGATTCAAAGCAGAATTTGTGTTTACACAGGTCTTGTATAGGGCTGCATACATTATTCAGCTTTTGATTTATGAAAAATTACATGGTATTATGGACCTTAATTTAGTTTAAAAGTGGCTTATCTCAACATTTCTGGACTGACAGGCATTTATTTGAGCTTACTAGTTTTAAAATAGTACACCATTTGCTAGATAATGAAAAAATGGGAAGGGTTTACTCCATTGTCTGACCTACTTGGAAGGGGAATATAGTCCCTTACAAAGATAAAGTAGAACCTGGATGCAGAACTGTTGCAGCACAGACAGCATGTTGTACAGGAGGGCTGCAATTCTGGTGACTGCAGATCGTTAGCTGGAATCCAAGCCATCCAGCATGGCCAATACATGCAGGCTTTAACGACTGGTTAATTTGTGTGATACAAATACTGTAAAATTATGATTTTTGTGTTCGTTTATAAACACAAGTTTTAATATGACCAAAGTTGGAAGATTTGCAGTCTAAAAGAGGAAAATGAATAATGAGATTGAAACATAATACTTTTTTATCTCACTGCTCTACTGATAACTCAAATCAAAGGTCAAACATAGGTTTAAGAGAGTTCTCTTGGGAACAGATATAAGAGGAAACAAATGAAAACACAAGAGGATGCACAGCATCATCAGTCTTTGAACATATCAGAAAAGAACATATCAAAAAAACTCCAGTTATGTATTGAAGCAGTGTCCAATATAGTGTTGGCACAGAAAGCCTCTCAAGCTTTCAGACCCAAGCAGCCAAGACAAGGGCGTAAGATAGGTGAGTAGCCAGTGAAGTAAATGAACAAAAAGGCTATTTCTAAGCTCTGTATTTCTATAGAAATACAATGTTGAAGGCTGTTTCCCCTCATTCCGAAGGCAAAATAGTGATTCCTTACCAGTGTTGGAGCCACTAGTCTATCAGCAGCTTAAATGACTTTCTGACTTTTTCTTCCCAGGCATTGTCCCCAGAACAAATAGCAAACCTGGGCCCTGAAAATGCTGCCATGGTTACAGGATCTCAGCGTAAGCATCTGACTGTATCACAGCTTCAGAGCCTTCAGCTGGCGCTGGATGGAGCCAGGACAAGCACCCCAGAGGTACCCAGCACAGCTTGTGCACCCCCAGTGGGGCAGACCCCAGCTCCAGGCGGTGAGTACAGCCACTCCCCTCTCCTGCTTAGAATGGAGGCCACTGGTGTACAAGTGGGACAGGTATCTCAGCACCCACCAGGATCATTCACATCTTCTGAGGGTAGACTAGAGTGAATTTTCTAATCAACTTTTTAACTCAGGCTTCCAATCATGCACCTGGCCAAGAGGAGCAGCAAGGATGGTATTGGATTTACCCACAGCAAGAGATAATGGAGGAAGATGAATCAGCTGGCTAGCACATCACATTGTGCTAAGCATTAGCTTATGTAGAATGTAGTCCGAAGCAGTGATCTTTCCCCTCTTCTTTGTTCCCATATTCTTTGCCTAAATAATTTAGAGCAGGTTCCTCCACCTCTGGACCTTCAGATCACAACCTTTATCTGCAGCAGAACCTGGTTTGCAGAGCAGCAAGTGGGAAAGGAGGTAGCACTGGGGTGGATTAGCACCTTTACCCAGGCTTGACCTTGGGCCCCTGGAGCAGTTTTTTCTTCTGTTCCCATCCAATTTGGACTGAAAACCTATTAGTACCTAGGCTTCTTGGTTTAACTTACTACTTCTCTATATTGCAGTTTATACTGGGCAAGTTATGTTGGCAAGTGTATTAATGGACATTTTACATTTAGTGATGTTTTACACAGTCAAGCCAGTTTTGAGAAGTTATTGCTGTCAGACAGCAAATATTGTTCTTTCCACTGCCGCCAGTGAGAGAGAAGCTGTGAAGAAAAGACAGGGATGCCGAGGTGCTAAAATAGCAGTAAAGGTGGCTAAATTACTCTGATGCCCTTACAGGAATTAGAGCAGGTCTTCCTGGAAGCAGCTGAACTGTGCTCTCAGCCCAGATCTCTCATGCACATGACACGTTTCCCCTGTAGATATGCCAAAAGGAGGAGTTTCCTGGGTAAAGATCACCTGGGTTCTTAAGCTCCTCATTCGTTATTCCGAGTATACTTCTCATTCTGTACTACCCCTATGGAATGCTTCTTTTAAGAACTGTGTCTGTTAAACTGAAGTTGACCATTCTGAATTATATCATTTTTAGAGCTGCTGAATCTCATTGGGAGGATTGAAATGTTGGATTTTGCTGCTCCTCTCTATGCTGGCTTAGGTAAAACTGCACTATTCTGAACTGTGTCGCAACACTAAGGCATAAAGCTTTCTGGTTTTTAGGTGCTTCCTGTTTGAGTGGCTTCAGCATCTGGTTGTGTGCCATGTTCATGCTGTGCATGCTTTCCTGAATCTATCATTGCTAAGCTCGTGGTAAGTTTTATTTCAGTTGGAAGTATCTTTATAATAGAGACACAGTTCATCTGCAATAGTGATGGCTTAACACTTACACAACAGTGTGAAGGACTGAGAGATCCCCTTCCTGCTTTGAATACAGAACATATTCATGTTCATATTCAGAACAATTTCTGAATAACTTTTTTTGTATTTTATGTACCTCTCTTAGACCATCTTTGACCCTAATAAAGGGGAAAACATTTTATCTCATGTTTACTGTAAGGCCAGCCTTAAAAAAAAAGTATATTTAAAATTCCATGCAACACCAATCCATTAGTGCATTTTATTTGGAGCGTGTTGTCGGTATTAAGCTGTATTTCGCTTGTTCCAGTCCATTGATAAGATTTTATTCCACAACTGCTGTGATAACCTCCAGCTAAATGAATGTTGCCATTAACTGTTGAGGGGATATTACAATTTTGACAGAATAAAATTTAACAAGAGCACTGCTGGGCTTATGTTATAAATGCTAGTTAAGCAAACAAACGCTGAGTGTAACACCAGAGCATTTAAAGACTGCAAACCAAGGTATGTCAAGAGATCTCATTTTTTTTCTTTGCTTTTTGATTTTCAGTGTCCTGGAGCTTACAAAGCAGATACTAAAGAGAATGCAGCTCAGCACAAATAGTAGAATGAAGAGGTTTTCAAATGCCTGAGTACAACCTGATTAATTTCTTAAAAGCAACACCTTCATCCATCATTGTGATGTGAAGCATCCCCTTTTCCTTGCTTTACCGTTAATGAGTAACACAGGAGTTCCCTCCAAGTGCTTCAGAACACATTTCAAAACTGGAAATGCCTTATGTGTGTCATGAGAAAAAAACTTATGCAGTCCTTTTTATGTTGATTAATTTGGTTACACTATTTTATCCATCTGTTCGGTTTTCTTTTTATACTTTGAATCATTCCTCAGGACAGAGGCTGTCTTTCTGTGTGACGTAGTAGAAACCATGCTGAAAGTTACTGCTGTTGCAATAAAATAATTTCATCTCTGGGATGCTGTTTTAAATCCTGCTCAGCTAAGAAGTGGTCCTGTGTGAAATACCTTTCAAACTTTTATTTGTATTTCTTTGTGGCAAACATCAGACGTAGCTTCTTAGTACTGAAAGCAGATTTAATTTTCCTGTGGGTGGGGAAGGGATAGGATCAGGGCTGGAAGGAAGAGGCTCCCAGCTTCTGCTGGGGAAGAGCAAGTGTTTGCTGTTGCTGCTGGGAATAACAGCTCCCACCCCATCCCCAGATAGTCTGTAATTCCTGCAGCAGCAGAAGCCAGCGTGATTTTCAGGGCTTTGTTATTGGCAAAGGAAGCAGTAAGAGCATGGCCATTTTTCACCCCCTCCTGTTCCCTCTTGCCCTTTAGCAATCTGTTTCTCTCTGAACTGCATTTGCCTATCTTTAACCCTAGCAAATATGACGTGATGTTACAAGTACTACTATGCTGTATTTTATAAGCAAAGAACTATTATTGTTGCAAATTGCCTTGCACCCTTTTCTCTAGTGCCAGTGATAAAATTCTAGCTTGTTCCCAGTGCGTTTTCTTTTCTGTGTGTAAACAGTAGATTGCAGCATTTACTTAAATAGAAAGAAATTTGTATGATCCCAGCAAGTACATGCAAACACCCACCAAAAACCAAAAAAGCTTCAATCGATCAAATACATTATGAAGATTTATCTGTTTTCTCATCTTAAAAAGTCATGCCTCATTTAGATGTGAAAGTACTAAAAGGTTGTTTCATTTATAGAAATTACTTGACCTGAATTCTGTGTGTATTTCAGTGAAAATGCAGGAGAATATTTTCATAGTCAAGACGAGAGTCAGCGTTTCCAGTTCAGCTGTGTAAGTCAGATACGTGACTTAGCTATATCAAGCACTTCAGAAATCCATATGAGCTGAAAATGATCTTCTGTCAATGTACCTGGTAGTGATTCTGTCTGCAGTTATGTGAGTCAGAGTTCAGCTTTTAATTGGAGCAGGAGTGAGCTCTTTGTTTTGTGCCATCTGTGCTGTGATTTTTTTTCAAGCACAAGTGCTCTTAAATAGCTGAACTCCTTGATTATTTATTTATTTTATTAAATTAATAATTATGTTAATATCTGGCATTGCATTTACATTTAGTCAAAAACATCTATTTCTTACAAGAGTAGCGTAGAAAAGTAAATGCAGAGCACCTACTTAAAGTCATACTTGGTTCATGGTGAGAGGACAAGCTCTTTTTGGTTTGTGCGATGGTGTGAGCATCTTGGATGGTGAGTATTGGAGAAATGCTATTTTACTTTTTCTAGTGCACCTCTTACAAAGATAACTGATATAACAGTTCATTCTGCAAAAACTGTGGTTCGTGAGATGCCTTCCTCAAAACTCTTGAAAATGAACATCTGTGAAGAGAATGGGTGGGGAGGAGAGAGTCAGAGAGCAGTAGTGTGCACAGCATCTAGTCTGCTGTCCATGTAAGTAATCAGCTGTCCATTCACAATCTGGCATGATTCCATTGCTAAGAAACTGAAACACATACGCTTTCCTTTTTACTCCTGTAAACCACAGAATCGCTTACTGCAGGCATCCGTGCCATATGATACTGCTAGCCACAAGCGCCTGTCACCAGTGCTGCTGTATATTATATACAAAATACCCATTCTCTGGCATGTGTTCGTGGGAAAGATGTCTCACACTCCCCCTTTTTTCACACTGCCAAGGCTTTTGCCAGAGAAATGCTGTATAAAGTTTTCTTTGATCCTTAAAGAAATGTTGCTGTTTGTTTTAGATGTGGGTAACATTTGTTTACACCAAGCTTAATTTTCCCCATCCCCTTTTAGTTTTAACACTCTTTTTATGCTTTTCTCAAATCAAAATCAGTCTAATGCAGAAATCTGCTGTTGAATATGTCACGACACTAATTTTCTGCATACTCTGAATATTGCAGCTCTCCTCTCCACTTGTGCCTACTCTGATGGTTGCTAGGCACTGCTGTACATCCTGCAGGATATACGTCTGACTGTTGACAGTCTGACATGACTCTGGTGTAGGCCAAACTCCTCCGAGTGTTATGAACCACGTGACAAGTGGCTGTGTCCAGCAGGATGTCAGAGGAGGTATTTCATATAATTCATTTGATGGGAAGTAGGATTGTTAAGGGTCAGACAGAAATACTCTGTTGGCTTGTTATTTCAGTGTCTGCCACCTTTGTGTCCAGAATCATGTTTAGAAAATAAAAAAGGGCTACTTGTTTGGGGTCCCTGGTCAAAAAATTATCCCTACCACCTGGCATTGGGGAAATCCCACATTTCTGGTATCTTTAAATCCCTGAAGATAAGGAAACAACTACATATCCACAGTGTCTGAAAGATGTCCCTCTAAAGCAGACATTATGGCTGTCGTTTTTGTGCAGTACATGGAATGCTTGACTCCCAGTGATCTCAATCTGTCACATCAGGACTAACCAACACCTATCAGTGTGAGGCTCTAAAGAGACCACTTTAAAAAAAAAAAAAAAAGTCATCCTTTAATTTTAAAATTAAAACGCCATTTATGCTTCTGTATAATATGCTCAAATACTCCAGGGGCAATTACACACTGCATTATGGCAGATTTAGTTTATCACTTGACTGCTGTGCCTGTTTTAGGATCATCACCACAGATTGCAAGTCCCATCCTGTTCAACTGGGGCTTTGTTAGAAGTCCCATTCTGTCCACCCATGCTGCAGCAGTTGTGAGCCACTCCTTCCAGGTGTACCAGCCAAATGTATCTAGGGAGATCCTCCTAACTCACTTATTTTGCTACTGACAAATAGGCAAGGAATCAAACAGTTGCCTGGAATGAGTCATGTGTGTAGATAATCCCCACTGACTGTAGCTCACATGCTGGTGTTCGGGCTCTTACTGTGTTGTGGTGGTCGTAGATGCCTCGTTCTGCTTCAGAGTATGCCAGTTATGGAAGATCAATTGAGGAACGGTAACTTGTTAAATTGCAGTACTGTGTTCCCTTATGATAGGCTGCCATCCTTAGAGAAAAGTAGAAATCAAATAATCTCTTCCCCTTTTTTTCCCGTTCAAAAACAAAAACAAAACATACAGAAAACTACATAGACTTGATATTTTAGGCTAATATGCAGCTGGAAGCAATGTGATATCGTTATCTCAATGATAATGTTTTTGATAACATTTTGATAATGTTTTTGATAACATATTGATAATGTTTATTTCTTTAAAAATGAGCTTTCGATACATGAGCCTACCATCTCAGAAGGACTGAGATCCTTATTGTCTTAATTAGTAAGATATTCTCTCCTGTATCATACGATGTGGCACAACGCTGTGGACTGCTTACTCCACTGCTGTTGCAGACAGGCTCTGGCTTCCCTACCCAATAAGGCAGGAAGGAAACTGGATAGAAAAGACAAGTCTGCAAAGCATAAATGCAAACTCCTAATGTAAGTTAAATTTCTCTTATCAATACCCTAGAACATCTAAAACTATTCCTCAGAAATAGTATTTTGTACTTAGTTTTACAACGTGCTTTAAAATGTGCAGATAAAAGACAAACCTGTCAAACAAATCAATGTATCATCCAGGTATATATTTTCATATATTTTGGTAAAATGTTTAGTATATTTCCATCCTATCTACTCAGTTTCTAAACAGAGAAATTATAAGACTAGCTCATACACTCCACCTGTCCTCGTCTAGTATCAGGACCTGTAGTAGTTTTGTACCATAAAACATTTTTGTTTGAATTAGCATCTTATTAATTGTACCTGGAAGTACACAGTCTGGGAAAGCATTACATTTTTTTCTGCTAAGAGTACAAATCAGCCAATATCCATCTGTCTCTCCCTGCCCCTTCCTGTTCAGCATCATTCTGCTTTTCTGATCTGGATTAATAAGGATTTTCATGCCCTCATGATATAGGAACAGAAGGTGTGTTCAGAGCTTACAATCTGGGTGACTATACATTGCAGTATTAAATGGAGGAATTGTGATTGCTGAATTTCTTGCTTTGCAGGCAACAGCGTAACATTTATCTCCTAATATTTTAGCTGATATTAATTACCCTTGGAAACACTTAACAGTGTCTCTCATAGTATCTGAAATCTTTACTGAAAAAAAAAAAAAGGAAGAGAGTACAGGAGTAAATTCCTAGAAGAGAAAAGAATATTGTTGAAAATACTAATTCATCTCAAATTTAGCAGGGTATTTTTTCTGGTACACTTTCCCCCAAGAACTTCTAACAGTTGTATAGAAAAGAATTGTTTTGATTTACCAAATAATAGTCTTTGCTCTAGTTAAAATCACGTGCTGGTTTGATGCCCTAGGTCATCTTCAAGTGAGACCTGATATGTTTCAATATTTAATCAGATGTCAGAAAACAACTTAGATGACAAATAAGCTCTGAATATATCCTGCATAAACTGAGATAAGAGTTGTTTATTCTAGTCATCATATTATTGATTCCATAGCTTTTGAAAGAGATGAAACATCATTTCTCTACCAGGTCATCAAGAGAGCTGATATGCAAGGTAGTTTATCTGAATTGGACCCTACTACCTACCATGTAATTGTTTCCATAGCTTGGGTTAATCACAAGTTTTTCTGTGAAATAAGTATGTTCAGCTGTTTCAGGGAAGATGCACCCTCTTTTCAGGCTCTCTTCTGAACAGTGATCATTAAGACTAAATACTTTATTTCTGTACTGGGCCCTTGTCAAGCTGGGTAGGTCAGTTTTAGAAATTTGAAGTGTATTTGGGAAGAGATCCATGGAATGTAGCATATATTTCAGCTGGTCAGAAGAATACACAGTACAATATTAATGCCTGTCAGTGTCTGAGCTGATGTCCATGGACAACTTCACAAGGACTCTCTTCCTGAAACCACTGTGAAAAGACATTGAAGAAGTCTTTCATCTGGTTAAGAAATATACGGTCAGAAATATACACTTAATGCCACAGTCCAGGACAGCATATTTGTCCCATGTGGTATTTCATGCTCTAATACTTGTCTTTCTCAGGTGGTATTTTCTTTCATCCATGATGAAAGTGTTCTTAATCCTTTAAAGCAAGGCAGAGCAAAGGCGTTATACTGCACAGTGTCCCCCTCTCATGGGGCATTGTTTTCAGGCAGCACAAATAGGACTTCAGTACCTTACTGCATCCTAGGAAAATCCTTGTCCAGTTCTGTGGTGTCCTTTGCAGTACTTTGAGTACCCTGAGCTCTATTGCCAGAGTGCCTTTGAGAAGCACTAGCTCTTCAGCAGAGCATCAGATGTGCTTCTCACCTTCCACTTTTTTTTTTTTTTTTTTCCTCCTGCCTAGTCACTGACATTGAATGTCAGGATCCTGGAGACTTTGGTCAAGGGCCAAGGAAAGGTGATAACTGATCTTTCACTTGCTGTTGCTGAGTGCAAGGTATCCTAGGCAAGTGGAGTGAGATTCTGCAGAAGTTTCCTGTTGTCCCGCTCAGGGAGCACAGCTGCACCTCAGGGTACCAGAACAGGCAGAGCTGTTCAAGGGGGCATGTAGACAGCAAGGGACAGGGAAAGCTGAGCTTGCCTGGGGGTGGCAAGCCTGTCCTGAGGCTGCCAGGGAGCACAGCTGACCCATCTAATACTAGTGGATGGAAAAGGAGCTTTGCTGGCTTTCCCCAGGAAAATGAAGAAAGAGAGAAAATAGATCTGAGAAGAGAGGAGTGAAAGCAAACTAGAAATGAAAAGGAGAAAGAAAATGATCAAAAGTTCATTCCCAAGGACTGGAAATCCAAGAAGGGGAAGAAGAAAAAGAAGCCCAAAGAAAAACATGGAGATGAAGATTAAAACTAAGCAAAGATTTTTTTTTTTCCTAATTCGCTTGTGCACTTCTCATGTCTGCCATTTTTTCAGTTAACTGTAGGATCACTGGTAAAACAAGGGGGCTCTCATGTTAAACCTGTGGGTAAAACTTGCAGCCAAACTGGACTTGCCTGAGGTCTACCTTGTGCTGTTAACACAGGGAGCTCTGTCCTCATCTGCCCACTGCACAGAAGTTAGAGCCGACCTGCAGTGCTGCCAGCTCTTGTGGAAGGCTGGAGCCAGGTCGGTGCAGATGCTGCAGGGTAGGTTGAGCTGTGGACAGGCTCCGGCCTCCCTCAGTTAGAGGCTAAATACCACGACAGGGAGAGACATCCTTTTGTCTTTCAGATGCGGGATTTACAGTCGAGCATTAAGGTGTCCAGGTTTGGGGGGAGTGAAGTTGAGCCTGGGAAAAAGAGGGAAGGGAGAAGAATAGGCAATATGTTAAATTAACTTTCCCCAAGTTGAGTGCTTTGCCTGTGATGGAAATTGGTAAGTGATCTCCTTGTCTTTATCTCATCTTATGACTAGGATAAGTTTTCAAACTATATACGCTGTTCTGATGGAAATTTTCTGTGGACTTTATACAGCATGGTTCGTATGCTACAGGGTGTGTAATAATGTCAAATGAGATTTCTAAGAAATAGCTTACTCTTCGGGGATGCTATAAAAAGTAAAATACGGGGTAACTTGGTATGTATTTTCCACAATACTTGGACATCCCATTCCTATCCTCACAGCATCGAAAGCTATACTTAGCTTTCTTTGTTATTTTTTCTTGCAGACAACAGCGGAGAGAGGGGATACACTTTGGATTGGATATTGGACACTGTTAGGGTGATGCCCTCCTTCAGGTTCAGGGATTCTGGGCTGCAAAGGTGCAGCACGCTGACTTACGGACACATCACTGGTGCTAGGAGCAATTTATTTTATTTTTTTTTTCTTGGAGGATTAGTTCCAAGAGCTACACCAACAGCTATCACTAGTTCCACTACACCAACAGCTATCACTATCATGCTTGCCCCGGGAGCGCCATCAGCCCAGGCTGATGAAAAACCTCCCATCCCCTGAGTCACAAAGCTCAAAGAGCCGGGAGCGGGGGCTGCTCGGGGTCTCCCCCCTCAGCGGGCTGAGGGCGGCCCCGCGGCCTGGGCCGGGCCGGGGGAGGCGGCGCCGCTCCCGCCCGTTTCCCAGGGTGCAGCGGGCGCGGCGCTGCCTGGCCACGTCCCCGGGCCACGTCGCTCGGTGCCCGCTGAGCTTGCGCCATCTTCGCTCCCCGGCTCCCGGGCTGCGCCTCCTCCTCCTCCTCCTTCGTCTCGCCGCTCCGCCGCCATGAACATCTTCCGCCTCACCGGGGACTTGTCCCACCTGGCGGCCATCATCATCCTGCTGCTCAAGATCTGGAAGAGCCGCTCCTGCGCCGGTGCGTGTGGGGGAGGCAGGCCTCGGCGGGAGGGCGGCGGGACCCGGGCGGCGGCGGCTGAGGGGAGCCCCTCGGGGGCCGCCCGTTGCCCGCGCAGGGCGGTAAAGCAGGCGGAGGTGGTGCCTGGGGGGGGGTAGCGCCTGCCTGAGGCGCCCCCTCAAGGCCCCCCGGGGGAGGCCGGGCGGGTGCCCAGGGGCGATCGCTCCCCTCAGCGCCCCCCCTCGGTGCCCCGCAGCCGGCAGCGGGGAGCACCCCCGGCTGGGGGGCGCCGTGGCGGCTGCCCTTGCTCCGCGGCTTCAGCGGCCGCGTTTGCTTCGTGCTTTAATCCCCGGCAGCGCCGCCTCGGCCGGTCCCGGCGGGCAGCCCCGAGCCCCCGCCGCTGCCGAATGAATGGGGCCGGGGGGGGGGGGCGCCGGGTTCGGGGCTCGCTCGCTCCTCGCTGGCAGCGCCGCTCTGCAGGCGCCGTGGTGCTGGGAGCGGCTGGCTCGCAGGCTGCAGCTCCTGAACTTTCCCTCCCTCCTTCCCTCCCTCCTTTCCCTTCCCTTCCCCCGGAGCCGCTCAGCGCTCCCGGCGGGCTGGCCCCGCGCCCTTCTCCCCTTTGTTTCCCTCTTCTCCCAGCCCAGCTCCGAGCCCGTTCTCCCTCCGGGCCGTGCCGCCGCCTCCTGCAGCCTCGGTGCTGCCGGCTGGAAGGGAGCGAGGCCGGGCCGGGGCCGGCAGCCTTCCCCGGCCTGCTCTGACGTGGCACCGCGGAAGGTGGGGCGGGGAGGCCCTGGGGTTCGGCCGCCCTCCGGGCTCGGGGCCGGGAGAAAGCCCCACGGCCACCGAGCAGAGCCCCACGGCTGGGGACAGCCGGCCTCGGCCTCCCTTCCCCGCCCCGTGCCCTCCGCCTGCTCGCAGGGGTTGCTGTGGCCTCGGGGCGGGGGGGGGGGGCAGGCAGGTCCCTGCACTGCTGCACGGCTCCAGCCAACACGCAGCCAGGAGCTGGGTTCCGAAGGGGCATTTCTGCACCCTGTGTGGGTTAGGTGGAGCAGGTTGGCAGGCCTGGAAGTGCTGCTGCTAGGAAGGGTGGTTATGTCTCAGGTCGGTTGGCCGGGTGTTGACGTGGAATAACGTGCAAGTACGCTCTGGAGCAGATGCGTCTGTGAAGTATTTGGTTAAGAATGTGAGGAATTAGTTTAGGCTGCAACCTGGAAGAACTGAGCATGGGGAAATTAAATCTTGTTCAGCTTACAGGTAAGAGGAAGTACAGATTCTCTGTTTTCAGGTCAGGTCAGTTTTTGCAAATCACTTGGTAGTGCAAAAGAAAAATCATAGTAAATGAAGAGCATTTTAGAACAGTCGTTTTTTTGTACATGAAGGTGTTGAGTAAATGACTTCCTAGTTGAAATACAGTGATAGTGCAGAACTGTCATATCTGAGGCCAGGGAGCCCAAAAGCTCTGCTCTAAATGAACATTCCTGGCTCGAGCTGTGGTGGATTAGGCATTCTGTCTAGATCTGTCAGGAGAGGATCTGGCCCCCAACTCTTCTCTGGAGTTCTCTCCTCCTCCGTCATTCTTGAGAAATGCTGTCAAGGCTAAAAACGACTAAAGCGTTAATGAGCTGAAAAATAATCATGTCTTACTGTCTGAAGAAGGACAATGAGAAGTTCCAGTGCAAGACTAAAATTCTAATAGCATTTTATCCAGGAGATTCGTAAGTGACCTTTGGACACGAGGTTATTGACACAGTGTAGTACAGCATAACCCAGTCCCATCTTTCTGTTTAAAAAGTGATCTGTTGTTTTCCTTGGTTCGGTTATGACTGAGGATCTCTGTTATTAGGCTTTTACTTATAGGGAGGAAGAATCATAGCAGTCATTTTTGGTACTGCCTTCTCCAACAGAGAGAAGTAAAGAGGCCTGTATCACCCTCAGCTCCACCCATCACCAAATCAGCCAGTGTCCTCCAGTACAAGCACACCTGCATGCACTCATTGAGAAGCCTGCTTCGTGCATTTTCCTTGGGAAAAGGCTGAAATCCCTTTTGCATGGGATTGTTTCATGGTGTCTTCAATTTCTGCTCTGTGTCTTTAGGAGTAAGTCCAGACCCATTGTACCTCCGGTATTTGTGTCAGAGGCCTGATGAGTTGGCTAGGAGAACAGCACCCCAGAGGAGCATAGGGTTCTATTTTGGGGGGCTCCTTCCTGTAGTGGTTTGTTGTTGGTTGCGGTTTCTGAGGATAAGAGTTTCCTAAATACAAATTCTCATAAAATATATTTATAAAGTTCATGGCAATAACCCCTAACTAGTTGCCAGTAACTGTTCAGCAGCTGCTCAATGCCATTATTAGAGGGCTTCATGCAATTCCTTTAGACTGCATGGCCAGCAGAGCAGATTATAAATTAAATAAATGTATGCCCCATGGTTGTTGGTGACTAAGGAAACCGAGCAAACCAGCAGCTGGCTTAACTGTGTCCTTCTGAAGCAGTAGAAGCTTAGAAAATAAATAGAGGCTTCTAAATGATTGCTAAACTGCAGGCTGTGATCCATGAAGAGCTGGCAAACCACATGGTGCCGACTCCTCTCATCTAGTTGCATCTGTGTGTGTCTGAGGCCTTTGTTCCAGGAGGAGCTAGGAGGCCTGTAAAAGCAGCTGGAGCTGAGCGGGAGGCAGCCCGCGTACCTCTGCTGCGAGCTCCTGATTTCTGAAGATGTGTCAGTCCCCGTTCCCTTTCCTAAGAAGCAAATCCTCTAATTGAGGAAAACTGATGAGGCCAGGATAATCTGCGTTATGAAGCAGTCTGCGTTTTCAGTGTTTGATGAGCTTAATCTACTTCTTTTTTTCCTAATTTAGTCAATATGCTAAAAAGATAAGAAGGGGAAAGCAAATCAAGTCATGATTTCAGTGCTGGCAGGGCAACAATTTTTTGCATGAGTGGTTATTTGAGTTTCCACATTTAGAATTTGAAAAAATGTTCGCCACTCCAAGTAACAACTCAGAAATAATTACCAGAAGCTGTGGAGAATGCTGCAGGTAACTCTGTTATTGACTCTCCTGTCATGATTAGGAAATTCATGAGACTTGAAGAATCCTCTGCTTTCAAACATTGTCATGTTCAGACTGTATTTTCTAATCTATCCCAAGTCAAATTAGATTGTTTGTGCTGTGAATTACTACCTGAAAATTGATTTGCTTTTCTCAGTGTCATTTGTCAAGTGTTAAAGGTGACCTGCAGTTGTGAGGCTGTCAAATTATATGCTGAATAGTCTCTTTTTTTTTTAAATTAAAAAAACCCAACTGCATAGGTAGTGAGTGTGTAACACTTTTGCTAGGTAGTATAGCCGTCTCACCTGCTATGGACCAGACCTTATACTGTGTTTAAGACTTTAGAAAGTGCATTGCCATAGGTTGTTGCCAATTTGTCTGTGTTTTCTCAGAAAATACTGCTTTAGGTAGGTTTGGAATTTCATTTCACTTTTTGAAGGAGAACTTTGCCTTTTAGTTGATAAATCTGAGTTTAGAGTTAGGTTGATTTTTTTATATCAGCATTTTATTAGCAGAACCAATGAAGTTGTGGTTCTGTGACTGATGTGAACTTCATGCTAAACAAGTTTTTATTAAATTCTACAAAAAGCCTGTGAGGTTTCTATGACTGTGTCCAGACTGGCTTTCTGCAGATCTCACAGCTGTGATGTGCAGCTTGTGCTCAGGTAAGTGGTGCACAGACTCCATAGCCAGGCTGCCTGAATGCTTGTGCTGTGCAGTCTGTCACACCACAGAAATCACACCAGCAGTTGTGGTTGATGAGAAAGTATCCCAGTTTCAGCGCTGCTGTCCTCTTTGTAAAAATCAACAGAGCTTTGGAAGAATGTCATCCTCTTGCTTTTAGCCAAGCAGAAGTTGAAGGAGCTTCTCCATGCATGAGGATGAAACAAAAATGAGAGCTTTGCATCCTGAAAACTTGAGCCCAGAGCTTTGCAAGATGAAGAAATAAAAATGTGTGTGTTTAGCTCAAGAGCTAAGTATTGTGTGAGGGAGGTGGAGCAGAATGACAGCAGCGTGGTTGCTCTGTCCCAGATGTCAGTCACAAGCCCTGGGCAGCACTGTGCAGGTGTACTGACACCTTTCTAAGGGCTAGAAGTGAATCAAGTCCTTTCAGCAGAGTTTGTGCCAGGGTCTTCCCTGTTGTTTTGCTAGGGAATAGATCTTAGCTTTCTCCCAGTTTGCCTGTCTCCGCGCAGGCCTTTGGTTTAAACTTTGAACCTTGCCTAGTCTGGCCAACTTAACTTGAAAATCAGTTTAGCCTTGGCTTTAAGATGTGTTTCAGCAACTTGAACTTTTGACTACAATAAATCGCTGATCAATAATTCATGTATTCAGTATGCTTTTTTTCTTGCTGTTTGCAATTCTTTCCTAAAAGAACATAGCACACGAAGTAACCGAGCATCGTTATGCGCAGTGGCGTGATGCCACACTGATCCACGTGGCTTTCTGTGTCTGCAGGCTCAGACTGCAAGTCAGGGCTGCAGCTGGGTCCAAGGAGCACCAAGTATAATTTTCTGTTAACTTTGGAAAGCCATGTCTTTGTTTATTTTTTTTAGTGGGGCTTTTGCCTTGCAGTTTTAGTCTGCACAACAAAGTGTTGAGGTGCTTACCGTTCACTGAACTACGCTTGGTAATTGGCAGTTGGGTGCTTCTGTGGCTGCCACCTTAGGTTTACCTGAATGACAAACATTTCAGGTACAAATGTTGCAAACAAAAACCTTTTAATTGTTACAAGTTCAGCCATTCCTGTGCTTCATCTGTGAAGGTAAAGTCCCTTCATTTGGGGCAGTTCAGTGTTTCCTAAGCCTAAACAGAAAAGTTGAATGACCATAGCACACAGCCTGCCTTCTAATTGGTTTATGGCACTGTTAATGAAAGCTGTTGTCAGAGTGCTGGTGTAAAGGGACAAGGATTTTCAGCCTTGCATCGTAACCCTTTTCTAGCAAATAATTTCCCATCTTGTTTTTCTGAACAATGTTTGCATGCTTAGCTAAACAAATTAAGCTATTTTCCCACTGGATGACTGAAAACAAGAATAATTGTAATAACAAGATAAAGGCTTGGTGGTTTTATGCCCCTGCTGTAACACCGCCACATCAGTGTTATGGTGTGATGCCTCACTTGAATCTTCAGAAGCTTTTAGTGACCGTGCAAAGCTTTAATGCAGCATTTCAGCAGTGAATGCTGTGGTTAGTGGTATATCTGCCTTCAGAAACTCTGGTGGCCGAAGAACAAAGATTTTGATGTCTGAGCTTTGGCCTAAAGTTGAAAGTTACTTTGAAGATTCTATGTAGATGTCTGTTACTTTAGCTCACTACTCTATTTTCGTAAATAGTATTATGTAGTAAGATCTCTTTTTGAGTGATAAAATTATTTTTTCATCATTTGTTCCGTAAGTTTGATAATTGAATTTCCTTGAGCCTTAAAATCACTTAATTCCTTTAAAATCCTACCATCGGTGCTAGCACACTTCCTGATTATCTCTGGATAACTATCTGTAGTAACTATTGCCATTACACCTTTCCAGGTATTCATCTAAAGGTAGTGCATGACGACACTGAGACTTGAAAGCTAATGCAGCCTTGATAATGATAATGCAGAACAGATAGCTCATGGGTGGTATTCTTGGAGATTATACTAACTACTGTGAGTGACTTCTAAGTAGTGCTTGCACCTTTTCCAGTACAACAGTGTGTAGGTAGTGTACGTTCACGCTGCTGAGATAACAGCTATCTAACTGTTCTGATTGTACAGCTTTGTTCTGTAAGCCTAGTTTTTGTCCTCATTTTGTAATCAGCTTGCCAAGGCTGAGAAAGAATATACCCCTTACTTCTGTGCATCAAGTGTTTTAAAGAACATCATCACTTTCTGAATAATTAATTATTTCCTTTATTGCTTTAGGTATTTCTGGGAAAAGCCAGCTTCTGTTTGCACTGGTCTTCACTACCCGTTATCTGGACCTCTTCACTTCATTCATTTCATTGTATAACACATCTATGAAGGTAGAGTATACTGAAGAGTTAGAAAAGCTAGTATTGTTGCATGCAGAGCGCATAATTTCATTAATCAAGGCCTCTTTAATTGGCCCACTGCACAGTTAGTGCAGAACAAATTCTGGAAGGGCTTTGGATAAAGAACATGGAAAATGGACTTAAAACCCTACTCTTTCTACACTCTACATGCAATTATCTAAAAACTGTTTGTAATGGGTACTGTGACACTTAGAACAAATGCCAGTTTGGTTATTGGAAATAAAAGCCTGTGGCAAAAATGTTTCACATAAATTATATTTCTCATTTGGGAGAGAAGAGCTTAAAAAAAAATCTTTCTGCACACTACAAGGTAAATTGGTATTCAGAATATTCTGTAGCCAGAATTGCAGCTAATGTCTTGTCTGAGGCTGATCAGAAGTTTGCAGGAGAATGCTTTAGGAGCATAGCTTCCATCTGATTATACCCCTTTTGTTTGTCCACTGAATGTTAGTGAGCTCAAATTTGGTTTTGTTAGTTCTGATTGTGCCGTTTCTGATGATGAGTACAAGAAAATAAAGCATCAGACTGGAAGAGTGCAGCTTGTTCGGCATTTATGGCACTGGAGCAGGCACCTTCTTAATCCAGTTCCTTTGTTCTTGGGTTTCTTGATGCCTTTCAGTTTTATTTCAGACAAGAATGTAACTTTGCCAAGAGGGAAGAATAGGCAGTCTGTAACACGAAATGTACTGAATAATTAAGGGAATAATACTGTAAAATAAAATTTTAGATCTTAAACCTACTCAGGCTGCTGTCTTCTAACAAGTCAAATATGCGTATGATTATGTTTTAACATCAACATTCTAGATGAAGAGTTGTGGGTTAAGTACAACTTCCTTGACACACAAGCTGTTTTTCATAGGGGATTTCTAAGACTATTGAAAGCTAGTGTTGGATGCCCTAAAGGAGCAGCTAGTTGTTTGTTTAATGGTCATGATTCAGAGTCATGGCCGAGCGTCTTTTACAGCCCTTGTACCCAGAAAATGAATGAATGAATGTGTGAAATCACACATCATACTTGCGTGTACTGAACTGTCTTTCTAGCAGTGGGAGAGCGGTCCTCCACTCAGATCCAGTACTAACATGCAAAATGAAAGCCTGTAGTTACAGGCTTATATATAACTACAGTTAGAGTTTCAAAGATTCTACTTAGACACACTTTGTTAGATGTAACTGGCTTTTCAGCCTGTTCTTGTAGTGCCAAGACAAGCTGCTTGAGTGCCCTTAGCACAGCTTCTTCTCTCTGCATTTATTCAGAATTATCTGATGTTACACAGTTGGGGTAGAGAACAGGAGCTACTACACAAATAAGCTGACCTGGAGCATTGCTAGATGAGTTTTCTAGTCAGAGGAAGGTGCTGTAATCAGTGGCCAAAAAAAAAAAAACCTGTTGGTTTCCACATAGTTAGGATTAACTTCATTTAAAAAATATATATATAAACTAAACTGTAGGTACCAAATTGAGATGTATTCGTCTGGCAGCAATCATCAGATATTTAAGAAAATGTGTTTTTTTCCTGTGCTACAGGAGTGTGTGTGTGTCTGTATGTATATATATATATGTAAATATGCAATTGTTACTAACTGCCTTTACGGATCTGTAGACTAGAATTTTGTGATTTTTAGCATTGTGCATCGTACAGTTGATTTTTGGATAGCACCTGTATCTGAGTATTGGATGCATTTCTTTTATTTTGGTACCTTCGAAAATGAAAATAAAAACTCTTTGATTGCCCCAAATACACTGTAATTCTCATGAAGAAACTTCCAGTAAGGAGTTGGGGTTCATTCACATCCCTTAGTGCCTTATGTGACGGTACCAATTATGACTAGCTTACAGCTGCAGTATGCATTCCTTAAATCTATTATCTTGTCACATGGTCCTTTATCTACGGCCAGTCAGGGTGCTAGTGTAATAAGTCTTCGGATTCTGAGCTCCCTAACATTTTATTTGTAGAATTTTATATTTGTGAGCACTGCTTTTAGTGGTGAATAGAATCTGCAAACAGAGGCTTTTGTTTTAAATTTGTTACTTTTCAGTTGTGAAGAACCTAAGTTTAATGTAATAAACTGGAATATTTAATCTTTCTGATGAAACTGAGGCAGATGCTAAATTAATTGTCCAGTCTAGTCTACTGTACCATGTTTTCTTCAGGGCACTGTGAGCTGTGTCCTGATGGTGGTAGATTGACCTTCAGAAAGTCATGTATTCTCTCTGACTCTGTTATTCATCTGTAAAATACAGCTATTTACCCGTTCCTCAGGGAATAGGTGTGAAGTCTACTGTGCCATAACAGTTAGCAATAGTAAGGTTTGAGATGAACTGAAATTAAAACTGACAGGTTCAATGCTTCTGGCAGTCTTCTAGCTTTAAGTTTTATTGCCTGCAGGTTGTTGGAAGACACTGGCCACTCTTCTGAGTTTAAGATGTTTAAAGGTCTGAATCAAATCAGCTAATTTGTTAGACATTAAATGGCCAGGTCTGTGTGGGGCTTGTTCAATAGATTTTTAATTGCCATATGAGCCACACCACCCCCAGGCTTTTTGAATTCAAAAAGACCTCTCCCATAATTATTGTATGTATATGCATGTACATTTTTAATTCAAATGTTTTGGGCTCTGCAGTTGCAGAAGTAGTCTTCCATCTCCAGTCTGTTCTGTAGTTCTGTCTACGCAGGGAAGAATCTCCAAAGAAACTTCTGACAATCACTTCAGCCAGAGGCAAGGTGACATTTGAAAACATCATTGGGTTGTTGGTTTTGAATTATTAATCTGCTGAGAAAAGCTAAATGCCACCAGGTAGCATGAATTTGCAGAGGCATGTAAACAAATAATGTATACAAACAACTAAAAAGGCAGAGCTTACTCCTTTTAGCGTCTGGGAATATCTTTGTTCAGTGAGTTTGGTGTAATCCTGCAACCTCTGTGTTTTGTTTTTTTTTTCTTTTCTTTCCTTAATCTTTAGCTTATCTACATTGCTTGCTCGTATGCCACCGTGTACCTGATCTACATGAAATTTAAGGCCACCTATGATGGAAACCATGATACGTTCAGGGTGGAGTTTCTGATAGTTCCCGTTGGCGGCCTCTCGTTTCTTGTCAATCATGACTTCTCTCCTCTGGAGGTGAGTTGGTTATGGGCAGGAGGCTAAACTCTTTTCCTCTAAAATATGTAGTACATGAAGGTAAACATTCTTTAGCTTAATATGGAATGTTTAGAAAGACGGCTGTGTTTAGTAGGTTCGGGCTAATGCTATTTCTGTAATGCATCTCTATGTTAGAGATGTCTCTGCAAATTGAAGGCACTTCAGGAGCCTAGCATTATTAATTTAACATTGAGTGTTCTGTTAAGTGGAAGACTGCCTTCTTTCCCAGTGCACTCTGATTGTCGCATTAATTCAAAAGAATCCTTCCTTTTCTTATGTTTGCTAAAGAAGTACCCCAGAATGTGACTTGTGAGTAGTTGGTGCCACCTGCTGAAAACAAAAGAAATGATAATACTTCTTAAATGTAGCTGTGTTTCCCTATCAGAATAAAATATGTGTAAAATGTAATTTCAAACAGGTACATTTTTACACTAAATTAAGATAACTTTAGATGCTCATATTAAGTGGGCAGACCTTTTTTATATTCAATGGAGTTACACGATATAATTAGGAAAATAATTTTAATTGCAGTATTTTGAGATTTTGTTTTAAACTTTGTTCTGTTAGCTTGTTCTTTAGACCAATTGATTGAAAAAGTTGGAAGAACATGAAAGAAAAAGGACTTCATCTTCTATGCAGCTTTTCAGAGCATCAGCTCTGTACACTGTGTTTCATGGCATTGTGTATCCTGAGCTGACAGATGTGTGCCAACTTTCCTCATGAGTAAACCTGTATTGGCAAGCTCACCAGACAGCTGATTTGGAGAGCATTGTCTGAAAGTTGTTTCCTTGTACCATCCCAGGGCTGACTTAGTTTTTCCTGTACCAACAATAGTTTGCCAAAATACTGTACCTGTTGCTAACATTGATACAGCGTGAAAAGACAAGGCAATTCAAATGCTTTCTCTGCTTCTGTTATCAGTAAAACAGCTGAATAATCCATGGTTGTTTCTTTTCAGATATTGTGGACTTTCTCCATCTACCTTGAATCAGTTGCTATTCTCCCTCAACTTTTTATGATCAGCAAAACCGGGGAAGCAGAGACCATCACTACTCACTATCTTTTCTTCTTGGGTCTGTACCGTGCCTTGTACTTAGTCAACTGGATTTGGCGCTACTATTTTGAGGGATTTTTTGACCTCATAGCTGTTGTTGCTGGTGTGGTCCAGACCGTTCTGTACTGTGACTTCTTCTATTTGTATGTTACAAAAGGTGAGTATTGGAATAACTCACAGCTTCAGGTAGTAGAATGTAGCAATTAACAGATTCATAAGGATCTGCTGTATAGACATAACAAAGTTGTTAATTCTGTGTGCAAGGTATCACTGTGATCTCCTCGATAGCTTTAATCGAGTACACTTTCTGCTAGTTTGGGGCGTTTCTGAGAACTCTTTTTAGTACAGATAAAATTGTGAATGTATAAATGATCTGATAAACTTAACCGGCAATTTTGAAAATAGGTATGGCTAAATACATGTTGCAGTTTTCTTCTGTCAACAAGCATGATCCTCATGTTTTTACCGTCGAACGACTTTTAGTTTAGGTTGTACACTTAAAGACAACTTCTCTGTTCTGAATACCTGAAGAGTCCAAAAGGTTTTGGTTGTTTCTGAATACACTAAGCATAGAAGCCGTTGTTCCTGCTGGATCTATTAGTAATTCTGCACTTACTGGTATTCCAGCATCCATCATATAACCACAAAACTATGCGAATGTGTCTGTGTTAGGCAAAACTCTTAAGAAACCACAATCACAGGCTAATATGTCAGATGAGGCTGAAAAGTAAGAATACCAGGCTGTCACAAGAGGGCAGAGCTGGAATTGTTACTTCAGTGTGGTTTTACTGGTCTGTATTAAGTTGGGGAGAGCTGATGGCAGCATATCCCTTTTGTAACAAAGTGACTCTACAATAGGTTTTGGTTCCTTTGAAGTTTTGACAGTTGTGTGCTTCATCTTGCTAACCGTTTTCTTTCATATTTTTCCTTGCAGTACTCAAGGGAAAGAAGCTCAGTTTGCCAGCGTAAGTGCCAAAAAAACCATCACCAGCATCTGTCCTTTTGGATGCTTGGACAGAACAATCCTTATCACAAGCAAAGGTGAAGATGCTTGAGACAGAAAGTCAGAAACACAGCTCTTTATAGTGCAGGTAGTCATCAGCGGCTCTGTAAGAACGGAGGAAAAACAACCAGCAGATTTCTGTTTGATGCATCTTGCCTTTATCTTTTTTATTACTATGTATAAAGATTTTTTACATAAAGAAACTTATACTGTATTAATAAATTCAGTGTATGGTTTCAATTGGAATAGTTCCAAAAGTGAGATTTTTGTGAGATTGTTTATGACCAGGAAAAAGTGCAAACTTTTTTTTTTTAATTTTCAAGAATTTCTTTGAAATGACTGATTTTTTTTCTTTTTTTTTCAGTGCACAAATACGTGCATCCTTGATGGATGGTAGTCATCTGTTCTTTCCCTTTGATTCAATTTTCATTCCACTATATTTATTTTTTCCAAAAGGTGAATATACGTCAACTTAAATCTGAAACCACCAATGTTTGATGTGATGTGCTGGTGCCCAGTCTTTGTGCCATCTGCTGACGTGGAGTTCCTTATTTAAAATGTATGTTGGTGCCAGAAGGGGAACAGTCACGTTCTGTAGTTGTCCCCCTTCTAAAACAGGCTGATGGCAAGAGGACAGTCAGGAAATCTCTTGTGGCCACAAGAATGTGCCCCTTCCTGTTCTGCCATGATGGTTGGGAAGGTAATCCCAACAATGACAGCGCTTGGCAGCGCAGGCTGTGAAGGGTGGGAGTTGTGGTTCTGTTGCTTAGTGGCAAATGTTTGTAACTGTATTCTTTGTTCTGGAAAAGAAGGTTAATTATCTTGGATGTACAGCCCTGCTACACCATTGCAGCCATAGAAATGGGAGACTTGTAAGTTGTTGATTACAGTAATCTGTAGGTGATCATTTTAACCAATGTCTACATTTTCTTTTTAATGAATGCTTTATAAGCAACATCCATGTTCAGCTTCAAGTGGTTTTTGATGTCACTTTTGGACAATTACTTTTTTTTTATAGACTTTCCAAAATCAGCAGCACCAGTTACCATTCTTTATCCTTTAAATGATTCCCTTTTTTTACTGAGCTGTTGCATGATTTATCCTGTGTTACCATCCTCAATAAACACTTTATGAAATGGTGAAAGCGTTTCTTTTATTACTCTTGGATTAAAATTTTCCTTTAGTCTGAGCTGTAGCAAGAACACGCCGTTTGATGTCATTGTTTGCTTTATTGGTACAAGCTTCTCTTGAAGGATTGGAGAGGTGTTGGCACGGAAGGGAGCAGTGGTGCCTTGGTTCTGTTCTGTACGAGCTCCATCTTCAGCCTGCTGTGACGGGGTTTAAAATGGAGGAATTTGCTGTAATGTTTGGTTCTTTTATGGTTTTGCTCAGGAAATCGTATGGCTTCTCTTAGTTTACCCCGCCTGTTCCCCCGGTTAGAGGTGTTAGGGCGCTAACCCTCCCGGGGCAGCTTTCCCTGCCCTCAGCCTGGCTCTGACCCAGCCGCGGCTCCGTGAGGGGAGCGGGGTGGGGATGGGGGGGGGGGGGGGGGGGGGGGGGGGGGGGGGGGGGCAGCAGGCACCGCGCACGCGCCTCAGTCCTGGCGTCGTCAAGGCATGCGCGCGGGCAGAGCGCAGTCCCCCTCCCCTCCCACTCCCCCCCACCAGCCGCGCGCCGAGGGCGGGAAGGGCGCGTGCGCTGCGTGCTGCGTCATGACGCTGCGGGCCGGGATCGCGCCGCCTCGGCGGGGCGGGCGCTGCCTGAGGGGAGCGGGGCCGGGCCGAGGGGGCCGGGCCGGGCCGGGCCGTGCGCGATGCCGGGGCTGGTGGTGTTCGGGCGGCGCTGGGCCATCGGCAGCGATGACTTCGTCCTCCCGGGGGCCTTCGAGCTGTCCCTCCGCCTGCTGTGGTGAGGCGCCGGCACCGACCCCCGGTGCCCTGCGGCCTGCGGGCGGTGCGCGGGGGGCGCGTTCGGGTGAGCGCCGGCTGCGGCCCGGCCCGGCCCGGCCCCGCTCGGCGGTGCCCGTGCTGACGGGGCCGTGCCGCTGCCCGAGGTGTAGGGCGGCCGCGGGTCGGCTCCCGGCGGGGTCCGCGCCGCGCGGCTCGCCTCCGGGTAATTGGTGCCGCGTGTTCGTGTTACCGGCCCCGCAGCCCCCACAACGCGTCCGTTCCGTTACTCTGCTGGCACTGGGATGGAAGCCTCGTGGCACGCGGTCTCCTCAGCGCTCGCTTTTCGCTCCCAGCTACAAGTTTCCTTATCTTACCTTCCCGTAGGTGGATCGGCATCCTCGTGCTTTACGCCGTTCACAAAGGGCAGTTCAACTGTCCCGGGGGAGGATTACTGCACAGCTACCTGCTCGTCCTCCTCGTCCTCCTGGCTGCTATAATATGTGCGTTATCTGCTCTTGTGTACGTCAGTATGCAAGGTAAGGAGTTAATAACAATGTCTTATACATATCTAGTAACGTTTGAATATGTATGCGTTCTTTTCTTCCAGTGTTGATATTTTAGGGAAAAAACAAAACATAAAAGTTCAAGTACTTTAATGGTAGTCAAACTTAAGTAACTGTCAGCATTAATTTATATGCTAATATAATGCTAGCAAATATATATATATATATATTTGTCAATAGTATTTATTCTGTTAGTCAGAATTCTAAAATAATGAGCACAATAATTTGGTATGGCTAAATGATACGTTCATTGCCACCAGAGCATCTTAAAAATCTCCTCTACGTTCACCATTAGCACGTGACCTAGAACCATGGAATCACGGAATGGTTGGGTTGGAAGGGACCTTAAAGCTCATCCAGTTCCACCCCATTGCCACCCATCAGACCAGGCTGCCCAAAGCCCCATCTAGCCTGGCCTCAAACACGTCCAGGGATGGGGCATCCGCAGCTTCTCTGGGCAGCCTTTGTCAGTGCCTCACCACCTCTGAATGAAGAATTTCCTCCCAGCTTCGAATCTAAGTCTCCCCTCTTTTAGTTTAAAACCATCCCCACGTGTCCTATCGCTATCTGCCTGTGTAAACAGATGTTCTCCACATTTTTTATAAGCCCCCTGTAAGTATTGAAAAGCTGCAGTAATGTCAGCTCAGAGCCTTCTCCTCTTCAGGCTGAACACCCCCAGCTCCCTCAGTCTGTCGTCACAGGAGAGGTGCTTCAGCCCTTTCATCATCCTCATGACCCTTCTTTGGATCCACTCTCAGAGGTTCACGTCCTTCCTGTGCTGGGGGCCCCAGAGCTGGATGGAACACTGCTCAGTGTCTCTGATAGGAGTTTGTGGGAATTTATCCCAAATCCATTTCTTACCTGAAGTATGATGTAAACTTTGCCTTGCGTAGGCATATTTCGTCATATCTTGCAAAAGTTCATTAGCTGCAAAGGATTGCTTGTGGAAAAAATACATAGGAAAGTGATCCCTATAAATGTTGCAATAAAATTAACCCAGCAAATAACGTTAAGTAGAACAGGAGTTAAAGCTTGAAGTGCGTGGCTAAGCAGAACTTCAGTGCAACTTCTAGTCATCATTTTGGATTTAAAAAATGCTAGAAAAGTACTTTTTTCTTGGTGAGGCACCTTATTATAAAGTAATGCCGTGAAGATTAATCTGAAATCTGCATGTGGACTCTGGAATGATAGAGGAGACCTCACAATTCCTAATATACTGGTTCTCACAACACACTCTAATTAGAAGAGTATTTAAATTATTCAAGTGGAAAGAAGTTTTATTTTCTCAGCTTCACTGATCGCTTTCCACTAGTTTGAAATAATTTGTAGTTTCAATTAAGTTTCTTACTTTCTGTACAGCTCAGAAAGTTATTTGTGTAGGATTTTATGTACTTAAGATGCATTCGTAAACTGTTCTTGTTCTAAATTCTCCTCAATTTTTTCAGGAACAATTTCTAATCCAGGCCCAAGAAAATCACTTCCCAAGCTACTTTATACTCGCCTACTTCTCTATTTTCCTGAATTCATCTGGGCTATTGTAGGAGCTGTGTGGGTGTCAGACAGCAGCGTGCACTGTGAGAAGACTGTGATTAATGCCATCCTGGGGACAGTTATTGCAAGGTAAAGGTGTCCTCCACTCTGCCACCCACAAATTAAGTTTGACAGTTTACGTGAAACAGAAAATAGTGCTTCCACTTGTTTTGTATGTGTTCAGTGAACACTTTACCAGTAGATGAGGGCTTTGATATTTCTTATGAATTATTTTGGTTTCTTCACATTTTCTTTGTGAATGGAGAGAAGCTTTTTAGTCTAGACAAGTGGAATGAGTTTGTGCCCGTCCCTAAATAAACAGGTTTGAGTTTCCTGCTCTGCCAGAGCACATTCGAGGGTGAAAGAAAGGAGGTGACAATCAGAAAGGGTAAGAAGGATAGATGGGAATGTAGAAAACAGATAAAGGTGAAGAGAGGAGTGACTAGATTGCTTAACTGGTAGTGAAAAATGAAGCCTTTGTGTACCAGAGTTTCAGTTTCCAAAGCGAGAAGGGCTGCGATTCTGAGTTTGGTGCCCTGGTGAAATGAGCCAACAGCCTTGTCCTTACACCTAGTGAGCTGAAGGCTTGACAATAAAACATGCACCTTTCTGACAGTAACAGATTATGTTTGTGTGATAATTCGTACCTAACCTTGTTTTCTGTCTATCAAGACGTATAGTTCTATTTTCTTGCGTATGTGTCAGAAATACCTGGTTTCGCGGCCCTTTCATCCTGCTTCCTCCTGTTTTGCAGCTGGGTTATCATCATCTTTACCATCATTGGAGTGCTAATCGTCTTTGATCCGCTTGGAGGAAAAAAGACGTTTTACCTCACTGATGGTGTGAATCGGAACTTGGAAAGCAGCCAGTCAGGGCAATTGCTATTTAATGTGAAGAACACTGCCACCAGAGTCTGGGAAAAACGAATCAGGTTAATGTGTTGTTGTATTGTGCAAGATGATGACCATCGAGTGGCTTTTACAAGTATCGCAGAGCTTTTCCGCAACTACTTTTCAGTAAGATGGAAAGCTTTTTTAGTGTTCTTTCTTGACTAACTCTGAATTTCCAGATGTTGCTACGTGTGCCTTTGTTCGGCCAGAGGCCTCTGACTGCAATCAGGTTTTGAACATGCTAATTGCAAAGTTAAAGGTGATTCTCACACAGTGTATACAACTCTGATTTGTCTCTCCCATCACAAATGTGAGGGCTGTGAGAAGACAGTATTTTCTCTGTAGGTGTCTAGTCAGGAGAGCAAGAACGGTTTTCTTTTCCTCAGTATGTGAAGATCCAGGCATTTTGCCTCCTGACTGCAAGTAAGGAGTCATAACCATAGCAGAAAATCAGACTCCTTTCTGACTATTTAAACAAAAGAGCCCTGCAGTATATTAAGGCAGTCTTCCTGGTCTGAATGACTTCTGAGCAAACACCAGACTAGGCTGTGCACGAGCAGGAAGTTGCTTTTTGGAAACAGAATGTAGACTGCAAGACTACGCAGACACAGTATTTTAGCTCAAACTTAGGTCACCTACTGCTCAAACAATCGTGATTCAGTGGACTCTGAGCTGTGTTCATGATTTCAAGACAAGAAGTTCTTGTTTATTAAGTGGTACTAGTGCAGGCTGATTTACAGCTACAGCACGCCCAGTGGTTTGTAGGGCAAAGGGTGTGAATCTTATGGAGAGGTGACTGTCCCAGGTAATTGAATAAAAGCCCTTCAGTCCTCTCCTGTGTAAAATCCTTCTTTCTTGTTCAGTATTCAATGAGTAGGAATAGCTGTATAAAGAAAAAAGTTTTTCATGTAGTGACATAGAATGGTCAGTAACATCAGGGTCATTATTTGTTATCTGGCTGAGCAAGTCCTCTGTAGGTTATGTTGTTAAATGATAAAAATTGTGTGTAAAGTCCTCATCAGTCTTACTGAAGAAAACATTCATTTTGTACTAAAGGTAGGGAGAGGGTAGTTAGTTTTCATATAAACTGAAAAGAGTAGAATTCCAGGTGCTTTTTCTTACAAAATTGTTTTGCCATGTTGAGGTATGGGATGGTTTTAACCATTCTTTCATTTCTTTAAACAGGACACTGATCTGGTGCCAAGTGACATAGCAGCTGGTCTGATTCTACTCCATCAAGAGCAAGATAAAATGGAAAGTTGCCCAAAAGAG